AGCAAACAATGAAAATGACGCGCAAGCCACAACCGTCACATCGAACGGAAACGACGAGGCTGCTGCTGCTGCTGCGGATACCACGGCGGAAGTTATTACTATAGAGGAGGTAGAAATTAGCGCTGCTGGCGACAACAGTGATGATCTAAAAGCACACATGCAAATGCTAATTATAAGTTATTAACATAAATACGTTTTTTTTTCTTGATTCTTTAGTATGTTTTGTATGTATGCCGTTGTAGAACTACTGAACCAATTTTTTTTTTCTGTTTCGTCGAATTCGTTTTTGTATACGTACGATTCGGTTACGCTTTCTTATGCTCACTTTCCTATAAAGCGAGTATAAAACGAAATTGTTATCCAGCCGCAGCGCATAGTTTGAATACAAACGCTTTGTCGTTGTAACAACACCAAAAAAAAGGACAAAGTTTTACATAACATATACATATATGCATGTCGTTTTGTAAACCCTTGTAAAGGCTAGCCGATTATGTAACGCCGTGAGCAATGCACATGTCGTAGCGCATGCGCACACAACTGCGTCTGCCAAAGCAGCATAATATTTAAGCCTAACGACCGACTTTCAAACCGAACCGCTCCGTTTAATTAGCACGCATTCAGCTTATGCGCAGTTCTGTTCAAATTTTAAAATTCATATTCATATCCCTTTGAATATATTTAATTAAAAAGAAAAAGTATCAAGTATCAACAAAGTTGGTCTGCAATCGGTAAAACAACACACCTCGTGACCAACCCCCCGTTGTGCATATCTATGTGTATATCGTTAACAATACTTATACTAGCTAAAAATTGAATATGAATAATTGCAAACAAGCAAAAAAAAAAAATACTGCTCCGAGAAGCTCCGTGCGCAATTTCATTTTAATAACTGTCGCTGATTTCAGAATGACCTACCGGAAGCTACACATTATTCCAAATTGGATTTGAAGTCGATGAAGGTGCAGGACATACGCGATGAGCTAACAGCACGTAATCTATCACCAAAAGGTATTTTATAGCAAATATTTGCAGACAATATTTATTCATGCTTTGAAACTCCACTCTCTCCAACAGGTGCTCGTAATATAATTATGGCACGTTTGGCCAAGGCTTTAAACACAGAAAAGGCTGAGGATAAGGCTGCAAAGAAAATAGCGCCGAAGAATGAGCCTACCAAAGCCCAATCAAAGCCCGCTAAAACGGTTGAGACTAATGCTAATAAGAAAGCAGAAACCAAAACTGAAGAAGTCGAACAGAAAGAAGAAGAAGATGAAGAAAACGATAAGCCTAAGGATGAAGAGAACGAAGAGCAAGAGGAATGGAACGATGTTATTGATGTGGATATGAGTGACATAGTCATACTGGATGAATATGACTCGAGCAAGAACCCGGAGGTAGCAATGCAATAGACATTTTTTTCGTTTTTAATTTATTTGTTGGTTGTTATTTATATATTATTTTTTTTTGTGTTGCCAATATAATTATGTTTTAATGAATTATTATTTTTTATAGTAATTTGTTTTTATATTATATTGTTATTTATTTATTTTTTAATTATATATTTTTTTTTGTTTATTTGATTTTAATTTATCTTTCATATGTATTTATTTTAAATTTAAATTTTTTTGTGACATATAAACCTAAAAGCGTTGATTATCATACAAAGGAAACCCCCTATACGGGTAGCAATGCAATAGAAATCTATTTATATTTGTTTTACATAATTTTGTGGTTATCATTTTTATTAATTTTTTTTAATGTATTATTATTTCCTAATACATTTTTTTTATAATATTTTTTTTATTACATTATTATTTTATTATTATTATTTTAATTATTTTATTAGTATTATAATTTTATTATTATTATTTTATCATTATTATTATTATTATTTCATCATTTATATTATTTTATTATTGTTATTGTTATCATTTTAAATCAGATTTTTTTTTTTAAATTTAACTATCTATTTTGTTTTGCTAAACAAATCTAATATACATTACTTATACACAGGAGACACCCAAAGAATTAAACGAAAAGGAGAAAAATCAATTAATACGCCGTTATAAATTGCCAACTAAAGAACACATTATTGTACATCCCAATAAAACCGTTAAAGGTGGAAAATTTGATTGCTCAATGATGTCATTATCTGTCTTGTTGGATTATGGCCCAGCAGATACAAAGGAGCGCTTCTTTGAGGTTAGTAAATGCCTAGTGAATAAAGAAGAGAGTGAAAATAGATTCTTCTATTAGCTTTTATTGCAGTCTACTATAATAATTGCATTATTACATTGTATACCTTAACATAAGTTATTTGCTTTGTACTCCTTTACCTTTCTTATATATTCAGGTGTCCATTTTCGCTGAGTTATTTAACGAAATGTTAATGCGCGACTTCGGTTTCAACATCTACAAAGAAATGTATCTACACAAGGAGGAAAATAATGAGACCACAGATGAGTCCAAAGACAAACACGATGAGGGCGCCAATGGTGGCAATAAAACGGACGTTGCTCAAACTATGGAAGTGGATGAAGAGTCGAAAACCTCTGCCGATGCAAAATCCAATGTTGATGGCGGCAACGGTAAATCCATAACCGAACGTAGAGCTTCAAAACGTAGTATTGCCGATGACGCTGAAAGCGAACGTAGACACAAATCGGCGGGCGTCAACGGCAAGGAAAAGGAGCGTGAACATGTTTCGGACAAAAAAATGATTGTCGTGAAGCCACAGCTTTTGCTATCTTTCATCTACTTCGACACCACACATTGTGGTTATATTTTTGAAAAAGATTTGGAGGATTTATTCACGGTGTTGGGCTTGAATTTATCGCGTGGCCAAATACGTCGAGTGCTGGGAAAACTTTCAATACGTCAAGCATTTTATTACCGGTAAAATTTGATTTAACGAAAAGTTATAGTAACCTTTTATGCAATCAATGAATTTGCTGCTTTTAGAAAACTAACCGACAAGGAAGAGTCCAACGAAGCGCCACCTAAACTTGAGGATGCTGATGATATACCCAGTGAGGAGTTGAGGAAAATTGCGCAGGGCAACGGTATATACATACCGAAAGAGAATGAGTTTAGCGGTGAGGAGAGCGCCATCGCTTCTAATAACGATTCGAATGATAATGATGGTAATTACATAACAATGAGTATTATATCACTTTATAAATATGAATAAAATAATTGCTTTTGGTCGCTACTCAGGTCTGGTCAACTATAATGGCATTGTCATACACGTTGGCAAATTATTGGAGCAAATCAAGCGCACCGAGAAGAACTATGGTGATTTGGAGAAATTATATAACGATCTCAGAAAACAACATACCGATTTGCAGCGCGATCATTCCAAGTCAAGCAACAAAGTCAAAGACTTGCAGTCGGAAGTTAAGAGCTTAACACGTAAACTCTCCGATGCAGATCAAGACCTATTCGCGGTGAATGTAAGTATTTTGGAAATATAGTTCTAAAAGTTGGCACTTCAAAAACTTATCGTTTATTTGTTTTCAGCGTAAGTATCGGGATCAGCATAGCACACTCTCGCTCATTTATAGCCGTGTAGCACCATACTTCAGTCGTGAGAAAGACAAGGATCACAAGTCGGACAGGTAAAATATGCTGCTAACGGTTGTTTCTATTAATGCTAATATATCAAACGCCCAAATTATTTAGCGCACGCGATAAGGACGCTGATAAGGATAAAGATAAAGAAAAGGACAAAACTAAAGAAAGTACGAAGTCCAGCAAAGATAAGGAGAAGGAAAAGGATAAAGATAAGGAAAAGGAGAAGGAGAAGAATAAAGAAAAAGATAAATCAAAGGTATCTGGCAAAGATGCCGAGAAGGTCAATGAAGTCAAGGATAAAAATGAGAATAAGAAAACAGAAACCGTAAAAGAAGAAACAGATACAACTGAACAGAATGAGCAAGAGGAAGAGCAGGAACCAATGGAAGACTAAAAATGCATTTATTCTAGATCATTGGTTTAATAAGTGTTTTATGCGTGTTATGGTTTTATGTGAACTTGAAAATATTTACAAAACATTTACACAATTTGTCCCATCTTCACTAAAACAACATTAAACAGGACTTGTTATTTGAATATTCCTCTGGCTAAGGATTAGATACATATACACATTAATAAATATTTTATGAATTTTCCAAAATATATATATATATATAAAAAAATAAAGGCTGCAAAGGTTTGCTAACGGAAAATATGTCGTCATTTTTTTTTTCAATTCGCAATTCGTCAATTTTATAGAAATTTAGTTATTTAGAAAGGAGAAAAGTAATTGTTGGTATATCAGCATAATCATTTTCTAAATGATTCGGTTGAATAATGCTGTGGTAAATTATGCGGACCAATTCTCTCAACAGCAGGTTCTGCGTTACCGGAATTAACCCGGATATTATCTGGCCAAGTTTTGTTATTTCGAGGATCTAACCCTGTTTGAATCGGTAACAAATCCATTTTGTCATCACTACAGCAACTATATCCGCAACTTCGTTTTGGATACTGTAGCAGGTTAACCTCCTACATATCCGAAATAGATCCCGAAATACAAAACTTATGTCCTGCCTGCAAAGAGTCCCCGCGCGACACTACTTCTTCGCATGACCCGCTAAACCAACTTAACACCCCTCCCCCTTTGGCTCGACCCCATCGAAGCAGCTCGGGTTAGGCACTCGCTTCAACAGCAACAACAACATATTATTCGTTTGTTATCGTATTATCGTCAATTCAGCGGCTCATAGCAGACACTTTGGGTCTTTCTATCACTGCAGACAAGGTTAAAGACCTTCAAAAGCTTACCAAGTATGGATGATAATTTTCTTATATAATACAAATAGTTAATTATACCGTTATTTGATTTAAAAAATAAGTATTTACGTTATTTTATTGTTTAAGAAAGCAAATATGTACTTAAATAAATTACAACAAATACGTTTAGAGTAAAATATATATTGCACAAAATAAACAGTTCCACATGATTTCGCGCTTCGTTTGCGTGTACTGCTTAAGTGCTTTATTTATAAATACTTATAAATACATATGTGAACGGACATTTTCCAAAATACTAATAATTTAGAGTTACTTATTTGTAGTTAATTACAATATAATTTTATTTTATTTTTATTTGAATTTTCATTTCTTATTTTCATTTTTATTTTACACGAATTAATGTGTTTTTGTGTGTGCGTGGATCAACAAATTGCTGAACTTTGTCTAAGCAATAAATAGTAGCTTACAATTACGAGATTATTTCAATTCTTTTGCTAAGTAAGCCAATGTAAAATTTAATTTATTACATAATTGAGAGCTAAAATCTCCTGTTTTGTGAAAATTAGTTAAATCCTTGTTATTTTAGAAGATCAATAGAAATGAAAAAATCTCACTTAATATATTATTTAAAGCATTTGAAACATTCAAAACTAGTGTTAGTTCCATAACACAACTCTTTAACTAGCTTAACATAATTAAAATTGTAATAATTTAGTGGGTACACAAAATATGAGTAGAATCTCTACATTTAAATTGACAGTAACAGTAAAGTTACCGCTATACCTCAGCCAGCTGCATAATTTGTCCAATTCCTTCCTTTTCGTTCGATCTTAAGCATCATCTAAGCGACCCATTGGCCGCAAAACAATACGTGGATCTGGCTCCAGCATACGATCCGACTCTTCAGCGCTGCTGAGACTGTAAATTTTAGAAAATAAACAGCAATTATAAATACACGTGCTAATAATAGTTTGTGTAATTCTCTAAAACATCTTATGTACGATAAATGATAAAATCACCAATCTTTGTTGTCGGGCATCAAATTTCTGCGTTCTTCTTCATCGCCTCGATGTGGCAGTTCTGATACCGGTGCGTATTGTGTATGTGAAACCAGCGGATCTGTTGAAGGATTTAACGCCATTATGCCTTCACCACAACCACCTCCGTTTTGGCATTGCATTTGTCGAGCTAACGATTTCTTTTTATCAAATAATGGACAACGGCAAACACAACTACGTCGCCAATCAGCAACTGATACATATACGCCTGAAAATATGTAATAATTGATCAAGTACTGTAGTAAAATGAAAAGAAAAATAAGTTTCTTCTACTTACCAACGCATACTACACCGGTTACTATGAAAAAAACACACAGAACAACAATACCAGTTGGAATTTCTGAACAGGTCACCACAATATCGTTGTCGGACAGATCTTCGGTATGTTTATTGTAAAATAAATTACTGGGCATACTTGCTAGAACGCTAGAAAATATTGCTAAACCAGTTGCAATAGACAAGAGTCCAAAAATCAGCAGAAATAGCTGAAAGTAGTACGCATGTGTAATTAGAGTTAAGAATAATAAATCAGGGCACGAAAACATAGTTTTATTTCTTTTATGGATAAATGTATTTTTACTAGTACTAAAAACTACATGGGTGCACAATAGTGATACGTATATATGCACATGTACATATATAGTATGTATAAGCATTTATATAGCAAATTGTGTAAACAATTCAGCTTATTTGAGCGTCCCTACCAGCACTTTTAAACAATTTATGCGCATATGTATGTTTGAGTGTTCAAAAAATATTTTGCTGATTAAAAGCATAAATTTAGGAGGATTCGAAATATAAATAAAGAATCGGAGAAATTTATTTTGTTTATCCTGCAGAACTATTTTGTTGATTATTTGAAATAAAAAGTTAAACAAAATTATACTTTGAAATCTAATAAGTACCTAAATTTAATTTAAGCTGAATATCACTTTGGTAATAATAACAAAAAAAAACACACATTTCACCAATACCTGAAATCGTGTATTCCTCAGTATTTTAAATGGTAGTAAACGGACATTGTTTCTTCCTGGTCGTGGTTCATATGAGACCGAGACGGTTGTCGGTTGATAAACAGGCTCTGCTCCCATGGGCATTCTATATAAAAATAAAACTTTTTCAATTTTTCTTGTGCTTCATTTAGACAATCATTAAAGTGATTGTTATTTACGATATGAGTGAATTCTTTTGAAGGTCAACATATCCTGATATCATACCTTAATTTTAGCTTTGAACTTGTAATTTATATCTTTAGAAATATTTATGTGTTTTTGTTGTCAAACTTGATTTCTTTTCTAGTTGTGAAAAATTCAATATATTATTTCTCTTACAAAATATATACTCGATTGTCAAATTGGTGTTTTCTTTAACAAAGCAAATGCATCCTTCGATGTCCAGTGTGAGCAACGATGCTGCCAAATTAGTCGAATGTCACTGCTAAGAAAAATTTGTAATAAAAAATCTAGACCTTGTCAACCCTCAGAGGTACTTAGATTGTGATTATACTCACTATATAGCAGTTTTAAATAAATATTCAACCATACCATGTAAGATGAGGTTTTCTGTTATCTACGTAAACAATAAATTCAAGAAAATACAATTGTCCATAAATTTTAATTTTTTTATTTTTTTAATATGTTGCTAAAGGAAACATTTGAATGTAAAAGATTATATGTGAACATTGAGTTATTATAAATTTAATAAATAAGTTAAATTCACCTTTTTTATCTTATGAACCTAAATTAAAGAGTAATTATATATAATAAATAAATATCCATTCATGAATAAGCCTCCCTAGGGCATAGAAATAGCAACCCTGTATGTTAAACAACGATGCCTTGCTTAAAAGCGATAACAAACTTTCCATCGCTAAGAAAAATGATTAGGTAACACTAATCTTGACCGGCAAACGGTAAATAAAATAGCTGATCTTTTTTATATTGTTCAGTAGACAGACCGGCTGCAGTTCTGCTTTTGGGTGTGTTCTGGAATTTGAGTGTGCTCAAACATTAATCGGTCTTATCTATTCTCACGTGTTGTTATCGAGTGAAAATGGCGCTTTTCGGTGCAACAGCAACACTGTTACGAGGCTGCTGCCGCCAGCAACGACCGCTCGCCATCTTGGCAAAAAAATCGAATTTTCTACAAACCGGAATCGAAGTTGGGCAGCTTCATTTTGAATTTCAGTCTCAAATAGGATTTCTTGGTGTTCGTTTCGTAAGTAATAGCAGTAAAAGCAATAAGGGCAAAATGGGTCTTCCCCGTGTATTTTTTGATATGGCTGCTGACGGACAGCCGCTTGGACGCATCGTTATGGAGGTAAGCATTGCATTTCCAATCACCATATGTTAATGAAAATTCAGGAGATAGATCATTTCATGCATGAAACATAGAAATTCGATAATTTTAAGTATATCTAATTAGCCGTATATAATTAAACGTGGATTGAGTGTATAACTGAATGTGAAAATGTTAACATTTTTGGGGTTTTTAATCGAAGGAACAGTAACATATTCAAGTTTGAGGTTATGATGATATTACGGAATGTGAAAAAGTACGATTAATCTAAGTGAAATGTATGATTAAATTGTAATTTACAAGTATGTGGATATGTGATATGTAGGTAGTTGCGAATGGCGGGGCCCCAGTGCAATTTCTGTACATCGTTGCGCATATGTATACATACGAGAATACACATATAGTGCTTGCTTTCGCCGGATTTTGTATGTGTTGGTTTATGCGGTGGCCGATGACGCCAACTTTTGGTTAAGTGGCCTGTTTATAATTTATTTCTTTAGTTTTTATTTTCATTTCATATATTGGAGTAAATCAAGTGATTTGTTTGTACATATATTTAAAAGGGATTCTTAAGTCCCCACCAGTATTTGATAATAGATCATGAAGCGGCTGTAATTGAATCAAATAGCTTATTTCCAGGTGGATGTGACACGTGTTAATTTGAATAATCTAGAAAGTATTCTTTAAATTGCATTTTAAAGGGTTTAAGTGTTTTGATTATAGTCGTTTCTATTTTTATTTAATCAGTTTCAATGATATGTCGGTTAATGGCCGGCTGGATACTCGGTGAGTGTTCATGCTTTTGGGTGAAATCGTGTAAATGCCGATGTTTGCAGCTCTGCTTGTATTATATTGAAAATAGGTATATTAATGTGTGAGTAATATTTTAAAGGGGAGACTGATAGTAATTTTCCATTGCCTACCTTACCAAACTAATTTTTTTTAGCAAATCGTAAAAACTATATTATTTTGTGTGTTTGAAGGGTGTTCATCGATATCTTTTTAACATATTTGTTATTTGTATATGCATATTGCACGTGTACACTTGATAAACGTGTATAGCCGAAATGACCATGTGACCTTGAGTGAACAAGTTGTAAATGGCATTGTACGACAGTTCTAGTAAATGGCATAAGAAAGGGATGGGGATATGTTACCTACTTTTTGTATATATAATTTCAATGGGCAGTGTCCAAAGTTTTAATTTTAAATATTGATTTATTTGTGGTGTACATGCTGCATTTTCGATTGAATTTTGTTTTCTTTAAATAATAAATTAATCTCGAGTTATAATTCAAACCTATACAGAATTCTATTGTATAAACATAACATTTATATGCAAATGTTACTTTCAAGTAATGTAAATAATTGGTAATTATCGAAATGTCGTTTATTTATTTATATTATTATAATTGTTTTTTTTTTATTATAATTTTTTTTTTTTTGTTTTTTAATTATCGCTTTCATATATCCTTATCGATAGCTGCACATTACCACTCAAACGCCAACTTCTCCTTAAATATTGTACACATCTTGATACTTATGTATACGCAAAGAAATAAGTATGTTTTAGCGCCATAACTTACCAAATTTTATTTAAAAAAAAAATGTAAATCGTTTTTAATAATTTTTTTCCTCCAATGATGTTTCAAGGAGTTAAAAGTTTAAAACAGATTCTATTATGTACAAATATTATATATTACTGCATCTTCGAAATTCCTTTTCTAAATGTGTATATATGTACATATATTCTAGTATTTACGTTTGTTTATCTAATATTATTTTTTTTTTAATTGTATTCTCAGGTGATGGTTGAATTCATTCCAACATTTTGTTTATTTATTAACAGTCCTAGTACCTTGAACCTTGTGAAACAATTTAAAGTAAAAAATCTGTTAACTGAAATTTTTTTAACTAAATAATTGCTGCAATTTCATGTTGGGCTATTACAATATTTGTATGATGATTCGTATGTGTGCGAATGCTTGCAATATTATCTCTATATGTATGAATGGTGTAGGCAAGTTTGGTTGGACAGTATTTACTAGACAGTAAATTGTGTCGCGACGTGTAGTGAAGCTACGCCTCCTGTCCTTCGTTCTGCATAAACCATTCGCAAGTTCGGGCAAGTGTGGGTTTAATTAGGTATTCCTAGTGGTTGTAAATTTGTGTGTTTTATTTTAGGAGCACAAAAGTGTCCTTAGTCATGCTATAACACAACTAACTACATTTGCATAATTTTAAAACGTTTTGGTTTAAATTTCAACGGCGTGATCTGTATACCGACTAGAACTGTTTATCGATCGATAAGAATATAGGTGGTAACTTTGCAAAGAAATGTACTTACTATAATCGAAATTTTTAAATAATTTATGGTATTTACAATCAGAATTGGGCCACAACAAGCAGAATATGTTTGCTATTATATACACCAGTGTACATTTGTATGCCAAATTTTTTAAACAAATGCATTTTTGAACCACTTGTTATTAATAGTCATTTAACCTTTTTTTTATTTTTATTTTTTTACCTTTCTACAATTCAATGTCTTTGCTATTGTAGGTGGCTGGTTATTGAGTCATAACTGTATGTATGTACATATGTATATATTTGAATGTTTTACTTTGTTATTTGTTATAACCCGCTTATAAAATAGCTTACGTAACGCAAATTTGATGTCATATTTAAGAAGCAAGTACTATATTAAGTTAATTTTATTGTAGACATTAATGAGTCAGAAATATGAAAATTATTATTTTATAATAATTTGGCATAATTATTAATTATGTAGGAGGTTACATTATATATGTTTGTACAAAACTCTTATACATCATTCTTGTAGCTACGCACAGATGTTGTGCCCAAAACTGCCGAGAATTTTCGTGCCTTGTGCACAGGTGAAAAAGGTTTCGGCTATAAAGGATCGTGCTTTCATCGAGTCATACCGAATTTCATGTGCCAAGGCGGTGACTTCACACAACACAATGGCACTGGCGGAAAATCTATCTTCGGCAATAAGTTTGATGATGAGAATTTTACTTTAAAACATACAGGACCCGGCATTCTATCCATGGCAAATGCTGGACCAAATACCAATGGGTCGCAGTTTTTTGTGTGTACCGTGAAAACTACGTGGTTGGACAATCGCCATGTCGTTTTTGGACAAGTGGTGGAGGGAATGGATGTTGTAAAACGTATTGAAGCACTTGGTAGTCAATCGGGCAAAACGTCTAAGAAAATTCTTATCGAAGATTCAGGACAATTAGAATAAAACAATTTATATAAGTACACATACACATTTCGAATAATTTTTGTGAATTATATGAATATGTATTAAATTAAATTAAATTAGATTGTCTTATTTATTTGTCTGAAAGATTGTTATGGAAAAATTTTGTGTGTAATTTAAGGAAACACTTTGTATGCAAATTTGCCATTTGGAAATATGTGTGTATATGTTTTAAGTGTTTACAATTTTTTTCTTGCCTTTCTTTGTGATTGTTGTGATTTTGTTGTTGAATATATGAGTGCTGGTTGCAAAATGGAAATCTGCTAAGTTTGACGTGTGATGGTGTGTCGTCTAACCCGTAAATAAGCTAAAAATTTAAGTGAAATCCTAACATAGAAATTGCTAATCATTATAAATAAACTTGTAATATGTTACAGCTCCGTCCCGATGTTGTGCCCAAAACTGCTGAGAATTTCCGTGCCTTGTGCACCGGCGAAAAAGGCTTCGGTTATAAAGGCTCCTGTTTCCACCGTGTGATCCCCAACTTCATGTGTCAAGGTGGTGATTTCACAAATCACAATGGCACTGGTGGCAAATCGATTTACGGCGCTAAGTTTGCTGATGAGAACTTCTCCTTGAAGCACACCGAACCCGGTATTTTGTCAATGGCTAATGCTGGACCCAACACCAACGGCTCGCAGTTCTTTATTTGTACTGTGAAGACAGCTTGGTTGGACAACAAGCATGTGGTTTTCGGCAAGGTTGTCGAAGGCATGGATGTAGTTAAAGCTATTGAGGGTTTGGGTTCACAATCTGGCAAGACCAGCAAGAAGATTGTCGTCGCTGAGTCTGGAGCGCTTTAAGCAGCGTTTTAAATTAACACACACCTAATATATATATATATATAAAAGCTAAAAGAAATAGCTAAGTATAATGTAATATTCAAGCAGCATTGTCGCATTTAAATTGATCAGTACTTCAACTTTCTAGTAAAGTGTTTGGAAACATGAGTTTAATAATGATTCCCCTGCAGTTTATTTTTTCTATCATGAGCGAATAAAAATTCAATTTGGAACTCTATTAGAATAATCACAATTTTTTGTTTCATTTTCCAATTCTTTCGAGAAAATCAATTCTTCTTTGTTATATTATGGGCGTATTATATGTTCTAAACTTCAGTAGTGTTTTCAGAGTAGTTATAATATTGCAGCAGACATATCCGGACATTATTGTTGAATGAAACATTACAGTTAGCTGTTTGCGTTTATTTATTGCTCTTAAAGTTTTCAAAATAAATGTCCGGATATATCTTAATTAACGCAAATTTAAGTGTCATACCAAAAGTAAATAAATTTTTCCGAAATTACAGCTTCGCTCAGATGTTGTACCAAAGACTTGTGAAAATTTTCGTGCTTTATGCACTGGCGAAAAAGGCTACGGTTACAAAGGTTCCGCTTTTCATCGTGTCATACCGAATTTTATGTGTCAGGGTGGCGATTTCACCGATAACAACGGCACTGGTGGCAAGTCTATTTATGGCACTAAATTTAAAGATGAGAATTTTACCTTGAAACATGAAGGCCCCGGTACACTATCCATGGCAAATGCTGGTCCGAATACAAACGGTTCTCAATTTTTCATTTGCACTGAAAAGACTGAATGGTTGGATAATAAGCATGTAGTTTTTGGCAAAGTCGTCGAGGGCTTAGATATAGTGAAGAAAATTGAAGGTTTCGGTTCGGATTCTGGCAAGACTAAGCGCAAGATTTTAATTGCCGACTCTGGCGTTTTGGAGTAATGAAATTATTATTGATTTACTGATTTTAGTTTTAAACACATTTTGTGAGCTTGGTTTGGTTGTTGTGTTGGAATGATCTCAATGTCGACTGCATTATTTAATAAAATTGTTTACAATCCCTATGAATCATTTCAAATAAAGGATTGAAATATATCAAACAGTATTAGTTATATTTTGGAATGCACTGCTACATAAACATCAAAGCTTTTACACGCATGTGCGCATATTTTAGAAGCATTAAAGTACTGTAAAAATGTATCTTAACGGCATCGGCACATATTTTGTAGAACTCTCATTAGTGTGCATCAAACGATTCCATACATTTCGAGCTCTAATGGAAAATGTTTTCTTTTTTTTTCTAAAGAAAAAACGAAACTCAATTATTTCCAGCTCCGTAAGGATGTTGTACCCAAAACTGCTGAGAACTTTCGCGTTTTATGCACCGGCAAGAAGGGATACGGCTATAAGGGATGCACATTCCATCGTGTAATACCGAATTTCATGTGTCAAGGTGGTGATTTTACGAACCATGATGGCACTGGTGGCAAATCCATTTATGGCAATACATTCAAGGATGAAAACTTCAAATTGAAGCACACCATACCCGGTGTCTTGTCTATGGCCAATGCCGGACCGAATACCAATGGCTCACAATTCTTCATTTGCACTGTAAAGACACCTTGGCTGGATGGTCAGCATGTAGTTTTTGGGCAGGTCATTCAAGGTATGGAGGTGGTAAAAGCCATGGAAGCTTTGGGCTGTGCAAGCGGCGGGCCGATGAAGAAAATTGTCATTGCTGATTGTGGTGAATTAAAATCGATTTGAAAATCAATAATGAGGCATACAAAGTTATACTGTGATTGTAATAGGTGTGAATTGAAAATTGCATACAAACATATATATACGTAGTATGTATGTTTGGGTATGCACTAGCAGAGTACTTATATGTTAATAAGAGTGTTAGCATAGAATTAAAATTTTATGGCATTATTAAACGATTTCAAAAGTAAGTAAACTTTAATGTAGCTAATTAAATAGTGTTGAATCAAAGATAAATTGCATATTGCATATGTATGTGTAAAAATTGATTTAAAAACAATTTGAAACAAATTAAATTGGGCTGTGTTGTTTCCCAAAGAATATAGTATAATGTGGATTTGTTTTGAGAGATCTAAATTTGGACAAAAATATCTATATCATCAAGCAGATAATCAGGTTGTAATTTATTTACTATATAATGAGAAAACCCATAATTCCCTTGTACCAGAACTACTACCGAGTTTATCCGATGAAATGCGATTTTAGAGATTTCAACCTTTCTAGTTCGAAAATTGTTAACTTCGGCTGCACCGAAGCTATTGTAGGAGTATAAGACACAGGTCTTATGGCATAAAATGGTATAAAAAGATCCTTATCTTGTTTTCGATTGATCAGTTTTTATTGCACCTCTGTGTTATAGTGGTCCAATCTGAAAAAATTCTACGCAAATTACCTTGGCAAATTTCGGGAGGATATCTGGACACATAAAAAAGTTGTTCATACAAGGACTTTATTTTGATCGTTCAGTTTGTACGGCAGCTATCGGAGTTTCCGACAAATGAGCAGCTTCTTGGTATGAAAAGGATGTCTGCAAAAATGCAAATCCATATCTCAAAAACTAGAGACTAGTTCACGTATATACATACAGTCGGTTTCGACGTTTGCTTCTGGGCCTTACAAACTTCGTGGCTAACTTAATGTATCCTGTTCAGAGTATACAAGTTGTGAACCCTGTAGCAGGGCTCCATAACTTCTTAATTCCAGATCCGGAGGACTACATCCAAACTAGGTAAGGCGTAATACATGGACCGGATGACAACTATCTAATTTCAGTACTACACAGTCGAAATAACGGTTACAACACAAATTTTAACTAGGAAAAATATAAAATATTTATTATTTATGATTATTTAAATATATCTAAACAGTTATTGTTTTTATCAAATTTTCTGATTCTTAAATAAATTTATTTCAAACTAGTATTTTTGCATTTTATGTCAAAATCAATTATTAACTTGTGTTAACACGTAAGCTATGAAGTATTTTCCAGATCTTTTGGTTTAGCAACAGGGCTGTTCGAATTCGGTAAAAGGAATCCCAAAGCGCCGGCAGCAATTAGGCCCACCGCTGGGCCATAGAGCGCCATCTCGCAATGTGTTTCAATGAGTATACCTAAAATGTTTGATCCCGAGACGCTGCCAATACGTCCGATCATCAGAGATATGCAAACAGCCATACCCCTAAAAAGAAATTAAAGAATTTAATACAAATACATTTTTATGTATATCCAAATGTGTGTCAACTATTAACTAAAATTACGTCTTTTGAGAACTTTCGCTCTTCGGTTTAAAGGTAACTTGAATATCCGAAATTATTATCTAAATTGACGGAAAAGTTTGTACCTTCCGATGGCTTATAACTATTCTGGAGTTACTTCGATTAAAAGTGAAGTAAAAGGTTACTAAAGAGTGAAGCTCCACTCTCCACAATTAAAAGGGGAGTATGGGTTTTAATTTGTTTTTCGATGAAATGAATGCTTAATATGACGAATGTAGGGTCTAAGTTTCAAGCCAATTATAGCAAAATTGACGAGATTACTATTTCTTTAGTATTTTTATATGTGTCATGACATCAGATTTCAAAACTTTAAAGCGTTTTCCCCACAACTCATGCGTTTTTTCCTTTAAAATGTTCTAAAAAAAATGAAAAATTGCGATTAAGAAGAAGACACCAGTTTTACCTAGGCTAAGCGATTACCTAACAATAAAATTTAATTTTTTGATTTCACATGATCCAGCACTGAGTTATGAGGGATACCATAATTCAACTTTTTTTCGAAACACTCCAGAATAATTGCTGGAATTTCTGAATATTTTAATATTTCTCCATTAAAATTCTACATAATATTTTTGAATTGTTACCATGAGTTTTTACATACATATTTTACCGGTAAAAAAAAATATATATATATAAATAGGCATTGTTTTACACGAATTAACCCTACTCCTCCGTAAACATATTTAATTAAATTTTCTCTACATTTAAGACTAAAGTTTTGCAGACGGACGAATACCACTAAATATACGCCGTAATGGTCACGCAATCCATTAACTACTTGTGATTCGAGATGCATTATTTTATTTACCTTAAATTTGTTGGGAATATTTCGACAGCAATGGCATTGACCACCGTTGTGCCAAGACCGCAGGAAAGCTGAATGACGAAGAGATAAATGGCCAGCAACGGTGTTTTTATGGAAAAGGCTAGAATGCCACAAGTTCCGCAAACAAAAAGGATTATAACTACAAAAAATAAAAGTAATTATGAAATGACATTTGCACTGAAGTCACATTATTTTTTTACTCACAAAGCATGGGTTTTCGTCCAACTCGACTAATGACAAACATAATGGTCAGTAGTAGTGATACATATATAACTTCCAGGAATATGGTATGCATATATGTTGATAATTCCAAGTGCATTGCGCACTCTTCAGTCTGTCCATGCTGTTCATGTAAAAATATCACAACAAAATTATTAACTTGTGCCCTGTACCAAGGTTGAATAGTGGTACTTACATCTGCTTCCATACTCGTAAGATTTCCCGAGCGTACGAATTTGATAATGTCACAAATGCGCAGTGGCTCGGTAACCTTCTCGGTATATTGCATGGTGTTATTTAGAATATACGGGAACCACATGTAGACGCCGTGGGCGGTAAAGAATATTATATAAAATATTAGGCTACACAGAAAGGTTTTCCTCAAGTGCTCGCGCATGAAGAGTGGCGCTGTCTGTTGCCACATTGATTTTAGAATGGATGCCAATAGAGGTTTGTCCTTTTCTAAACCTTTCACTTTTGCCATTGGTGTGTCGGCGTCCGGCAGTATGGTGGTAACCTGCAAATATTAGAAAAAATTAAGAAAAGATTCGTAACGAAATCTTTTTAAGCGCATACCGTGAATGCATTGTTACGTTCATTGCTTTTAAGATTTATCCTATGCATACGCTTCAAGACTTCTATAGCTTCTTCAGGCCGTCCGGCAGTTAGCAGATACTTCGGACTCTCCGGCAAGAAAAACATTGACAAACCACAAATAAATCCTGGCACACCGCAGGCCAGGAAGTAAGAACGCCATGGCTTGAAAATTATATTAATGTAGGGCACGTGGAACTCCCAGTTTTGATTGATGAACAGCCAGGCGATGACGGGGAAGAGTATTGAGACGACTGCACTAACCAAAGCACTGCCTAGTATTGCGCCACTGCGATATTTCTGGCAATGGAACTCTCCGAGGTAAGCGAAAATCGTCGCGGAACCGGCGGAAAGTCTGTTAACAGAATTGTAAAAATATTTTTTTTTATTAAATATATTTGCTGTTTGTCGTTTTAAATTCGACAATAGCTTTAATTATTTTTCCGGAGAAAAGATATTTTCCGACTTTCAATTGTTTTTCTATTTTTAATAGCCTTCGTTTCGCCAAAACTTTTACGTCGAACAAAATTACTGTCTTCAAATATAAATGCTTGCCAAAAGAAAAAAGCTCAAAGAAGAGAGGATTTGTGAAATAAAAAAAGATACAAATTGCGAATTCGCCTCATATACCTACAGTGTAAGGTTCCAGCTGTGATATTATTGAAAATAATAAGAAAATATCATTTTTTTTCTAGAGCATATTCTTTTATATATCCATTAGAATCCGATCAGAAGAATTATGGAAGAATTGAATTAGTTTAGGACTACACCTCACCAGATAAAATGATGTCAGAGTGGGGGTCCTGCGACAGGACAAGGACGATAAGGACTGTAAATAGCGCGGCATTCATGAAATTTACTACAGGGGTGTTTTCTGTCGCTACAACAACAACACAACAGCTAATTTTTCGAGTCATATCGTCTACATCAGACAAAAAGACGAGTAATCTAGGTTAAATTTGAGCTATGGCTTCCGAGGATGGTTAAGTTTCTGTAACCAAACGTTGCGTTGGTGTGATATCAGATATTTTATTAAAGAAAAAAATTATACTTGTTTAAATTACAATAGGTACTTACAGTATGCCATTTAAAAATCGCAGCACAGCGAAGGTAATGAAATTCGGCGATAAACTTGAGAGGGCCGTAACAAAAAAGCCCATGAGTAATGCCGGTTGCATTATCCGCTTGCGACCTGTGGTATCGGCTAGAAATCCCCAAAAGTGTGAACTCGTAATGACACCGGCAAAGGAAACAGCGCCTATTATGCCCTGCTCCCGGTGAGATAGATTCAGGTCACATTCTAAGACGGGCAGTGCAAAGCTAACGCCCACCGATTCGAGAACCACATTATTGAGCACGAAGCCGCAAAATAAAATTACGAGTATGTTAAATTTGCCATAACCTGTGGGAAGACAAACATTTTTTTTACAAATATTAAAAAAAAAATATACAACATAAAGCTAATAAATTTCTCAAATGTACATATATGATATCGTTTCACAAAAGTGGGGTTTAGGATACGAATTCAAGCTTAGTATGTGTCTAACAGGAGAAAACCCGTTAGCTTCGGTTGCAACGAAACTATAATAGCCTTCTCTCTCGGTGGGCTTGTAAGACAGCTAAATATATGCTATAGTGGTCTGATCTGAACAATTTCTTCGAAGATTGTACCGTAGTGATGTAACAGTAGTTCTAGCCGAATTTCGTGTAGATATTTCGTCAAATAAAAAAATCTTCCATACAAGGATATGATTTTGAACGTCCAGTTTGTATGGCAGCTGTATGCTAGAGTGGTCCCATATCGGCGGTTCCGGTATATGATATATTGTTTCCGATATTTTCTGTTAGCTGTTACAAACACTACAGCGTATAACTAGTTTCTAAAAGCGAGAAGTATTGCCAAGCCTCCGAGCATACATATTTCTGCTTTGAAAAATTATCACATAGAAAATCACCATCCTTTGAGAATTGCGTTAAAAATGTGTTCTGTTAATTAACTCGTAGCCTACATATAGGTTATGAAGCTCTACCAACCATCTGACAATTTCATAAGCTGTTTTTTATAATTTGAGGTTATGTTCCTTTGCATTTTTTCATTTAATTTTTTTTATGTACGTATGTTAAAAGTTGCACGAGTATTGCATAATGGGATTATTTTTACAAGTAAAAGGTCTTTAAAAATCGAAGTCTCGAAATAGAAGCTTAAAAAAACACTAATTTTGGATTGATGATGCCAAAATTTTTGTCAAAAATTGTTATATTTTAGTTATTTCATTTGACGAAACAACTCGATATTATTATGGTTTCCGCGTAGAAAGCGACCGGTTAAATCTGCAATCTTATTGTTTTATAAGAATATCCGCTAGATGCACAACGTTTTTTTGAAAAAATTCCCGGTTAGTTATCATTTTATCTTAAATGTAAAGTTAAATGTTTTGAATAAGTTGAAGTAGTGAGGATCCGATGTCATTTTATACTTTTTCCGCCCAACAAATTTTTGAAATATAATTTTTTAAAAATCGTATAAATTAAACAAAAAATGTTTTTCACTGTTGATTGAATATTTTTCAACACTTTTGAATTTTAAATTTACTATTTATAGGTAGATTCTCACCCGTCCTTTCTAGCGCTTCATCTATAACCACAGTATCCTCTTTATTCTCTCTCGCCATTTTGTTGTTCGAGTCACTTTAAGAGCTAAGCGTTTAAGAAAAAAATCGGTAATTCTACACTTTGGCTACGTTCTTGCTTTTTGCACTACGAATTCACTCGAGAACCGCCACAGATTTAAATTGTCATCTGCGTTCAGTTATTCAACCCCATCGTTAACGGCTAGCAAATGCCATGAGAGAACCCCTCACGGTTTTATTTAAATATCTAAAATAAGTGGTTAGACAGACAGCAGATGCTGAGATAGCATTTGGGTAAATAACTGTTAACGTGCTTTTGTTTGTATGTCTGTGCCTGTTATTGTGTGCTTAAAAATTTGACTGATTACTTAAAGGAAAAGTTTTCTAAATACTCAGACAAATAAATGTAATTACTTCTGATATACAATTGTCCCTACATATATAGAGACGTGATCAAATAAAGGTTTGTTGTCGGAGATAGTTAAACTGTCGGAATAAAATCAAAACAATTGTAATACTATTCATATAAAAATATTCGAGAAAAGTGGTACAGTTATGTTAAAACAGTACAGCAATACAGTCGGCTGACGTTATATATTTGCGGTACACACAAATAATAAATTTCCCCGTTAGACTAATATAATATACTTGTAATGACGGCATTGATATATGTATGTAAATATGAATATGTGTAAAAATGTATCCAAATCTGACATCCGGTATAAATCTTTTTGAAAATATGCATTCGTATATTTTAATTAAATATTTTGCATGCTATACCGTCATTCAAATAGTCTCAGAGAGACCAAATTGCTCGAGAAAGCAAGAAAAAAATTGTGAAATTGAATTCAAGAGAGAGGATAAGGAGAGTGATATAAGCGCTAGCAATTCTAGCTCAATTGTTTACCATTCCATTTGCTAGTTGTTTGTTCTATTCGTAAAAACTTGTAGAGTGGGTAAGAACAATTTATTTACTAGTGGCATTAGCTTGAGTGTGACCTCAGCTAAAGAAGGAGCCAAATAGTTGCTTTTAATGGGAGTTTACGTTACTACTCTAGTTTGAACCAGTCATCAACCCAACGCATTCGTATGAATTCAAAAAAAATGTTTGCTTAGATTGCCGAATGTGCCACACACACACACACCAGAAATACCATAAATTATATTATATATTATATTTTTCACAGCTTCTCAGACAAAACACATTATGTTTATCTTATAACTAAGGGTATAAATAGACACATTTAGCTCAAAGTAAATGCCGCGGCGGATTAGAAAGACTTAGTTAAAAGTAGGCGTTATTTTCGAAATCCGAAACTTCTCTGGTTGTTTAGATGTGAAAGTTAAACCTTGCAATTATTTGCGTGGATATCAAAATTTTATGAAGATTACTGTAAATGCTTTGAATAACAATAGTAAGTGTTATTATTTATTGCGCTTATACCATTACTAGAAGGCTGGCAGAGATCATTTGCCTGTTTGTGCCCGAATGTTTGTTGTACCTTCGCGTCAGCGGTATTGCGGTGAATATGAAGCCACCTGTTTTCCAAAAAAGCACAAATTTCTTATCGAAAATAAAGAAAAAACAGTAACGTAATGTTAGCTAAAATACCATTCGCGAATAAAAACGTTTTCCCTGCAAGAACTTGATCAGCTATGTATATGCTATAGTGATCCGATTTGAAACTTTTTTCGGAGATTGTACCACTGCCTTGAACAATAATCTATGACAAATGTCGTGAAGATATTTTGTTAAATAAGACAGTTTTCCGTACAAGAACTAGTTTTTGTTGGTTCAGTTTGTATCGCAGCTATATGCTGTAGTGGTCCGAATCTGAGGTTAAGACAAATGAGCAGCTTATTGTGAGGAAAAGGATGTACAAACAGACGGACGGTTAAATCGACTCAGCTCGTCACGCTGATAATTTATGTATATATATGTATGCATATATTTGATAGAGTCTCCGATGTTTCCTTTTGGGTGTTATAAACATCGTGGCAAACTTAATATACCCTGTTCAGGGTAATATATAAAATTTAACTGTGTTGCTACCCTGTATCAAAATCTCGAAGCGACATAGGAACTGAGGCGTGGCCAAGCAAATAGAGTGATTTTTTTTATTAAATTAATTAAATATGTATACAGCTCTTTTCTAAAAATAGAAGTGTAAACATTTGGTGGCAACAAATTTGTAGTCAAGTGGTGCGGCCACCTTCGAGATAAGATATCATTTGACACGATTATGCAAAGTGTCTTTTTATTTCATTAAAATGCATTTTTAACTGAGATCATCGCCAGATTAAATATGCCAAAACATGTTTACATAAATAATAACATGAATCTGCTTAGGAACAGTAAAAGTTAAGAACACTTTTTTTATACTTACAAATAAATTACAAAAGTGATCGATTTTGAGGATTTTGAAACAATATTTGAAATGCTTGATTGGTTAAAATTCAAAAGATGGTCGGAAATCGTTATATTTGGTGAATGATGATTAGAGGTTTCAACACTTTCACCGAACTTTACATTTCACAACTTATCTGAGACGACGCAAAACAATATTTAATGAGTGCAGTTAGTATACAAACATATGTATGTATATCACACAAGTAGTTTATGAGATTTATATAGCAAGCGTATTAGAGGCGGGGTCTCGCATCTTTCACAAACATATTAAAGCTATATATTTTAATTTACTTAGTTTTCTATCTTAATTTGCTTGAGAATTAAAATAGACAATATTTTTTCCGAAATAAATATTTACTCAAGTTAATTAGTGGACAAACAGCTAGACATTACGAAATCGAACATTACTGAAACACGCACATGAACATGTGTTTTTATAAGAAATATTTTAAAGCACATACATGTGCATGAGCAAAATATGCATTAATGTGCTGCTCATGAGGATGCAAATGCGAACCCTAGTTTTAAGACCCCGCTATGACATACAGAAATTCCCAGAAGCAATTTACTATTTACTGATTTTTTTCAAAATTAACACTTTTTTCCATACATGTGAGTACATTTGATGTGTTTTGGACAGCCTTCAGGGGTTATCTACTAATAATTCTATTTAAAAGGGGCTCCTTAAAAAAATCGTTCTAATTCTGCTGGCTCGGTTAATATACAGTGACAGGTAGATGAGTTTCATTTCCGCCTTATACGTATCTTCTAATTTCAATTGCAGATATTCGATTGAAATACTTAAACTTTTATGCTTTATACTATTCAATTATCCTATTATACTTTTAAATTTATAACTTAACCTCCTTTCGTTTTTAATGTCACTTGCAAATCAGCTTTTCTCACCGTTTGAATTTATTAGATGATGTTTTGTCTGCCGACAGATATGTTTGTAGAATTTGTTGGTTCTTGTCTATGATAGTGCAATTGCAGATCATTCACAGTTCAAGAGTAGAAGTACCGTTTCCGCTACGTTCATGTGTTAAACCATTCACAATGGAGAAAACATTTTGTGTTATAAAACGCAAATAATCTATTTTCTAAGATTTTATTTTTGTATTTACAGAACACAAATAATTATCTTAGACTAAACGGGTTATATAAATATATACAATCTTGCTACATCAAAATAAACAAGTTTTGACTTTTAGCACAAGTGTCTGCACTTTGGATAAACACAGCCATTCACAGTAGAATTTCTTGCGATTAATAAAAAGTCTACTCAGTATCGATTATCATTTGGTATATATCGTGTTATATCAGTAAACATATAAGAAGGTCGTAAACCGCGCAAGCACAAAATAAAACGATGAAACAATCTAAAATATGCACACACCGTCGATAGGTGTTTTTGAAGTTGTTTTGTTAGTGTGGAAACAATTCATAACTACTCAAATGAATTAATATTCTACAGTGCCTTAGTGTCAAATATATGTTTTATTTAAACAAAATAATAAAGATTTATAACATGAGTGCTTTACAAACAGCAGAATTAATTGAAATTGAGTTTTAGGCGTCAGAAAATAGCGATAAAAAATATTTAGTGGTGCTGCGCCGTAATGGAGGCGATATTCATGTGCGTGTCAAATCCTTAAATTTCACATTTCAAATAGTCTGTGTTCTTTGCAAATTCATTCATTGAGTTATCTGGCTTTCGTATCGCTTTATCAATTACCAAATTCGAAGAATATTATCATCTAACACAGGAAATACGCCGAGCTATGAGGTGAGTACGGTGTCATTGGTAATTTAGAGGGGCGACGTAAAATGTATGCATATACATACGTATATTTAGATAAAGTGTAGGTAGCTAATATAAATACGCATATATAGATGTGTGTACATGTATGGCATACTAATGTAAATAAGAAGGAACAAAAACAGATGCGACAAGTAGATATGCGCAAATATGTTTGTGCATATGTTAATGGCTATATGATAGCGTTCCGTTGAAATAATGTGCAACAGTGGTAAACTTGTTTTTCAATACCAAATTCGAAATGTTTTATTATGATTTCAAATGAAATATGCAGATCGCAACACAAAAAAAGATAAAACTAAACAATAACAACTACATATATATAATTCGATGATATATAAGGTATTAGCTTAATGACTAGCAATTCGTGGAATTGTTTATTTTGATACATTTAAAAGGCAAAGAAATGTATTTAAAAAAGTTTTGAGTGGTGAAGTAATACTTAAGGTAATGGCTTTTTAAACGTATTCTGATAAATGTACATATGTAAACCATTTTAAGTATTTTTTCATCAAACGCAAAAGCTTTTATCCATGAACTGTCTTTTACAAATTTGTTAATTAATTTGCATGTTCTTGACTTGATTGAACAAATATTTGAAAATTAATTATAAGTAAGCACATATTTTTGTTATCTTTGGGTATGTTAATAGCGTACAAATTGTGATAAATACGAAAAACAAAGTAAATTAATTATATGTACTTTTTGATAACATAGTTTTTTATTTTGAAATTTTAGCAACTTACCTTTTTTATGGTTGTCGTTATAAATATTTGCATATGTCATCAGCTTTATCTTCTATTATGTTTACCAAGGCATTTTTATTTCTTTTTTTTATTTGACATTGTTCTACAAACCTAATATTATTAACAAATATGTTTGGAACATTGTATATGAGAAATTTAAAGAATAAAATTATAAAAGTTTAGATTTTTTTTACTTTTGTATAGACGAGTATGTACTATAATTAGTTGACAAATCATTACAACTTCCAAATATTCATTAAAAAATAAATCTATATTTTTAAATTTTTTAATGCAAAGTAAATATTATAAATAGAATTCCTACACTTCTTTTTTTTTGTTTAGTTTCAGATGTCTTCTACTCGCTATTTTTTATTGCATATGTACACTATGTACAATCTCCAACATTTTTGCGCAATCACCAGGTGGTATGTATTGTTAATTAATAATATTTAATGATAATTTTGTTTTATTTTTTAATTTAATAACACATCATTGTATGCCTACCTTTTTAGAAACCAGTCCTCGGATTATAATCGAAATCGGTCACAATGCGAACATCACTTGTCGCATGAATTTGAAAATGTTTGACGGTGAAAATAGTTCGTCATTATACTTCACCTCCGATGAACCAGAACAAGAAGTTGTGCATACTAATATAAGAGTAAATAAAACTAAATTTTGCATGCAACGCATTTGTAATTTATTTACTAATTTCATCCGTCATAGATCATTAACGCAACAACGATTGTTTACATGCTGCGCAACGCGAGCGAGCAGTTTACGACTTACACGTGTAAAAGTGGTCAATATGCAATTTCAAGCACGGACGTCATTGTGGGTAAGCTAATTTGTAACAAAAATGTGACTGAAATTTTTATATGCAATAAAATGATATTCAAATAAAATTGTTTACGCATAAATGTAATTGACTTCCGTAGGTACCAAGCCCACAGAGGTTAAAGATTTCAACTGCCAGGCATTTGACTTCACCTACATGACGTGCGCGTTTACAATACCACAAAATATGGTTCCAACCACATATAATTTGAAATATATAACACAAAATGCTGTAAGTATTTTTAATATGATATTGCTTTATAAAATGCATAATAATATTTATTGATATTTGTGTTTATATATACAAATATGCATGTAATATATTAATAATCTTATTAATTGTGCTGAATAAAGGTCATGTCTGTGATTATTGTACTAATTGTTATGCATACAGACATTCATACACAATTTTCTTATTACATATATAATTTTGCTTAGAAATCATTTATTTATAATTCGTTTTATATAGAGTATATATTTTAGACTTACTAATTTTATTATTCCATGGAACAATTTATTCGAAGAATTTTGTTAAATTTATTTACAGTAACATCCGTTTAATAAATAAATATCGTAAAACTTGTTGAATTCACTAATCCGTTTTTAATAAAAAAAAAATATCTTAACTTACTAATATTAAACTAATATAGAACACTTAAAACTTATTAAACTCTTTGAAATCAACATCCGTCAATAATAAAAAAACAACATGAACAAGTCAGGAAGGGCTAAGTTCGGATGTAACCGAAGATTTTATACTCTCGCAAAGTCAAATGGTATGCTCGTTTTAGATTTCTTTTTGTGGATCCTACTGCCTTGTTCTATGTTGACCGATATTTTCGGTAAAAAGTCAGCTATAGGCACTGCGGTCGACATATTCATTACCTAGGGGCTTGAACAGTTTTGACTCGATTTAGAAAATTTTTGGTCACAAGGTGGCATACTTCAAACGCATTATTCACGCAAAGTTTTACCCCGATACAATCATTTTTGCTGGAAAGTGAAAGATTCAGATGAAATTGAAAATGGTGTTATATGGGAAATAGGCGTGGTTGTAGTCCGATTTCGCCCATTTTCGCACAATAACATAGAAATATGAAAAGAACGTTATGCACCGAATTTAGTTGAAATCGGTTAAGCAGATCTCAAGATATGGGTTTTCACCTAAAAGTGGGTGGTGCCACGCCCACTGTCTAATTTTGAACGCGGTTCCTATAAAGTCATCTCATACCATCCCAAAGATAAAATTTAATGTCTCTGGGTTGTTTAGTGCTTGATTTATTGCGCTTTTAGTAGTTTTTAACAGTACCGTTATATGGGAAGTGGCCGGAGTTGCCATCCGATTTCAACTATTTTCACACTATAGGTAGAAGTTCTAAAAACATTTGCTTCCAGTGAATTTTGTTATTATAGCATTAGTGGTATAGGAAATATGTACATTAAACTTATTAGGGGCGGGACCACGCCTAATTAAAAAAAAAAAATTTTAACTGGAGATGCCCCTCCCTAGTGTGATCTCGTGTACCAAATAACAGTCTCTTGTATCTTATTTCGGAGCTTAGTTATGACAATTTATTGTGGGTTTTGTGGGCGTGGCAGTGGTCCGATTACGCCCATCTGTAATAACAACCGTCTTCTGTACAAGAAACATGTGTTTCATTAAGATATCTCAATTTTTACTCAAGTTACAGCTTGCACGGACGGACGGACAGACGGACGGACGGACAGACAGTCACCCGGATTTAAACTCGTCTCTTCATCCTGATCATTTATATATACATAACCCTATATCTAACTCGATTAGTTTTAGGTGATACAAACAACCGTTAGGTGAACAAAACTATTATACCCTGTAGCAACATGTTGCGAGAGTATAAAAACGTTAACTTCCGTTGCACCGAAACTATAATAATACCCTTCACAAATCAATTCCATACATGAAGTTGATTTCAGTGATGGGTGAGGCCGATCTGAACAATTTGTTCAAAAATTGTACCGTTGCCTTGGATATTAATTCATGCCAAATTTCGTAAAGATATCTCTTTAAATTAAAAAATTTTCCATACAAGGTCTTTTTTTGATCGTTCATTTTGTATGACAGCTATATGCTAAGTGGTCCGATATTGTGTTCAGGGTATAAAAATATAGCTTAACTTACTAATATTAAATGTCTATAGAATACATAAAACGGTGTTGTGGAATGACTAATTTATTTTATAAACGAAATATTTTTTAATTGGAAACTCAATTTGGCGGAAAGTAACACTTAGAATGTGAAAATACAGATTTCTATATTTGAGATCGTATATCCATGTATTGCAGTTATACAATGATCATAGTCATATTATTGTTATAAAGCATTTATTGATTTCCTTTTACACTAATTATTTTTTTTAATAATTACGACTTTTTATTTCATTTTGGGTTTGCATGTCATTTACTTACGTATATTTTGTTACTAACATTGAATGAACGGCACGTTTAACACTACTACTGCAACTACTACTCGTTATCACACACACCCACACAAACATACTTCCAACTAAAATTTGAATGCACTTGTGTGTCTTGTCTATAAAATATAACTGTACTAATATGGCAATCGCAAATCGCAATGACAAAAAAAAAAACACCTAAAAAAATTGAAATAAAACTTAAGGCAAGAACGGCTGATAATCGTACGATATATTCACAGAATTACATACTGAATTGTGTAAAGTTGGTGAAAGAAGGCGACAAAGCCACTTGTAACTTTACACTGGAGGATGGCAGCTATAAGCCCAACTTTGAGTTTTACAATTTTCGCTTGACAAGCAACAATACATTGGGCGCGCTTACACAGAATTTCACCATAAATCACAAAGAAATTGGTGAGTGCAAAAATTCTAATCAAAAATATTAATTATTATTATTTTTAAAAATATTTAATATCGTACGCCTTTTAAATTGCAGTTAAACCCGCTATTAGCAACTTCCACATTGAGGACATCTCAACAAACGCCTGTGTGCTGAATTGGGAAATGGAGCGTTACTCTTCGTATAAGCTAAATCGTTTGCAAATGGAGGTGCATTTACAATCACCGCACTATGAAAGCACGAAGACCTTCACTTGCATGAAATGTAACAATCGCGAAATATTTAATTTGTCCATCGACGATCTGCCTTACGCATACTACGAATACAATATAAGTTTGCGCATTAAGATGAGAATGCCAGCGGCAACTTGGAGCGATGCATATAGCATTGTTTTCCGCACGCTGCCGCTGGCGCCCGAAATGTCGCCCGAAGTGGATGTGAGCAGTTTCTACTTGAACGCCACGCATCTGCGTTTGTTTTGGTATCCCACGGCGGAGTATCATCGAAACGGCTCGAATTTTCATTATATTGTGAAGCTTTTGCAACAGGATGGCGCTGCAGTGTATGTGTGATATACAAACAACTCTTTGTGCATTTCATAAACATTAACTAACTGAATACTTCAATTTCTTGTTTAGAAATCAGCCAGCGCTGCATACGGTAGTGCCCACTGTGGCTTTTCCCTGGAACAGCGCGCACAGTTATGATTTCAGCATCTGGAGTGGTAATGAGATGGGCGTGTCTTTGCGTAGTAGTCGCATATATGTGCCTGCGCTGCAGAAAAACTACGACAGCCGTACGCCACTGGGTATAAGAAATGTGTATCACTCTTTGGATCGCACCTATACGTTGCTCTGGAATGCGCCGGAAGATTGGAAGCGCGTAGAGAATTATACAGTTTTTTGGTGTCAACCCAAAAGTGTGGCGTCGAATGAGTGTCACGTATGTATACATTTATTTAATTAATAAAATTTTCGAAAGCATGATAAATTTAGGTTATGACTGTCATATTCTTTTTTTAATATAATTATGAATTCTTAAAATATTGAAATTTTAGCAACATTTTGTTGCTTGAAATTTATTTGTAACGGTTTTATACAAGAAGTGATTTTAAAAATGTCGAACATTGTGCACTCAAAACCTAGATTTGAGGTTATATTTAATATGGTTAAGCCGCTATTGATTGTTCAGTATATAGAGCATTAGAGAGACTTTATAAAGTTTATATGTATATAAATTATCAGCGTGACGAGCTGAGTCGATTTAGCCATGTCCATTCTGTCTGTATATACCCGAACTAGTCCCTTAGTTTTTGAGATATCGGTCTGAAAATTTGCACATGTCCGTTAATCCATAAGAAGCGGCGCATTTGGTACCAATATCAGACATCTATAGCATATAGCTGTTATACAAACTGAACGATCAAAATGAACTTTTTTATTTGACGAGATTTCTACACGTAATTTGGCATGGATTATTATTTAAGGCAATGGTGCAACGCCGAACTTATTGTTAAGATCGGATCATTAGCTTCTATAAAAACGGATCTCTCATTTTCCAGTCCTTGTATGTAAAACTTTTTTATTTGGCAATTCACGAAATTTGGCATGGTTTTTGTCCAAGACAATGCTACAATCTCCGAGCTTATTGTTCCTATCGGATTACTATGGTAAAGCAAAGAGCTGCCATTCGAACTCACCGATCTAAATCAAGATAAAGTTTCTGCTGGATGCAAATCGTTTGGTTTTGGCTACGTTTTCATATTTATGGTTTCTATAAGAAATGAAGTGGTGAAGAGTATTATAACTTCGTCGAAGTTGACGGGTTTGTTCATTACACAAAGCCTTTTTTTAATTATTAATTATACATTTATGCGGTCATATATACGTTATCTATATAAAAATGCGGATTCGTTTCGATAATGTATACTCGCATGCCGTGAGAACTCTTAATAATGCTTGTAGCGACACAAAATATTCCCTGAACTATTTTGCGATTGCTGTGGATGTAATTAAATTATATTATTTATCACGATCACGAATCAATTATAATGTGTAATGTGAGAATCGACGATGATTTTGCATAAAAGGCCTCCGTTAGAATCTTCTGCGGGAATAAACGATTAAATGTGCAAATTTACACGTTTTTTCGTGCTATGGTTCGGACACTCTGCAGTATATAACGATGATATATAAGATAATATAAGAGATAATGTAAACATACCTTTTTTTTTTATTTATTTAATATCGGAACATTATCCTAATATTTAATTGAAAACTCTCATGTCAAAATATCTGTTATTTTTTTTTTATAAAAGTTGGTGGATTTTTTCTCCGTTGAAATCTCTATTTTCTTATGGTATAAAAAATATATACACACATTACTATTGCAAATTTTCTCAGAAAATGCTAAAGAAGACCAATTAAAAAATCTATATATCAAATCTGAGAAACATATTACGGTGCCTTAAAGATAATTTTTTTTCATGATATTTACAAATGACAAATAACACAAGCACTTCCTTTATATTTGCAGAACATTATCGGATTTACGCAGCTAGATAAGAACGCGCTCAACTTCTCAATACAGCAGAGTGAATCGTTGGTCTTAGCAGTTGCGGCCAATTATCGCGATTATTACACGGGCATGCACTGGGCAAAGTGCACGGCAGACGTATTAAATGATCTTGAGAAATTAGAACCAGAAATTGAAATAAATGCATATTCGATAACCGCACGATGGAAGTCGGAGCATGTGTGCGCCTCACTTATCAAAGGCTATACAATTAACTACTGCCAAACGAAATCCGCGAAGAAACCAAAGTGTTCGGCTAAACTCGAACACATTAATGTGGACAAAGGAGAAAACAAATATGAGATTGCTGGGCTAGTACCAAACTCGCACTATCAAATGCAGATGTATATGTACTCGGACCTAAAGGAGGGACCAATAAGCGATATGCTACACATCCAAACGAAGGAGGCCGGTATGTGACGATTTTAAATTGTATAATTGAGAAAGATTAAAATTTTTTTTTTCGTTTTACAGCGCCCACACCACCAAGAAACCTGACATTCGCACACATAACAAGTCAGTCGGTGTCGCTGTCATGGCAGTCGCCGCAAGAGGCTAACGGCAAAATACGCTACTATATTGTGACGTAAGTGTGCGCCGTTATTTAACTGCATAAAACAAAACCAATAATTCATGTTTCTTTAACGTTGCAGTTATAATCGCGAAAATCTAACTGTGCCCTGCAATAACTTAAGTGGTTCGCACTGCTTCGGTGCGAGCAAGCGTAGTGAACGTTACGGCATTGAGTATTTATCGTACACGCTGCAAAACCTAAGCAGTTTCACTAACTACAAAATTTGCATAAAAGCATTCACGGTTGCTGAATCGCTGCCCAGTAATTGTGTGTATGTAAAAACACACGTTGGCGGTAAGTTTTTCGTTAGCAACATTATCTTTATATTGTATATTTGACTAATAAATTTACGCATTTGCAGTGCCCAGCAGTCCCACACAGATCAAAGTTGACAGTGCAGGCGACATTGCGATACGTTGGCATGAGCCCGAAGTGCCATCGGGACGTGTAGACTACTATGAAGTGATTGTTGAAGCCAAATTGCGGCAAGTTATCGAAGGTCGTTATATTTCGCGCATAAAAACGGGCAGGCTATGCACTATAAGAAAGAATTGCGATAATGAGAATTTCGAGTATACAATTAGCTTACGCAGCGTTAATATCGCCTATGCGAATGAAACCGATACAAAACTGTCGCAGCACTCCAAAAAGCATTCCGACGATGGCCATTATGTATCGTCCGACAATTATGAGTTGGGTTGCGCTGAGGCGGCGCCCATGTCACCGGTAATTGCGAGTATTGAATACACCGAATATAGATCGGTTGAGGTGTACGTCTTCAACAACTTTTGTACTCCACCAGCTAAAGCTGATAGCAAATTATGGATTATTATATTTTGTATAATAATGGGCGCTTCATTCATATTCATATGTGGTCTGCTCATCTATAGACGATGTCATGCAATGGCTTCTATTAACTGCAAGATACCAGACAACTTGGAAGATTTGGTTAATCGCACCGAAGACAAATTGCGTGAACATGAGAAGTTTATGAGCTCCTCTACCAAACCAAATCATTATAATAGCGAAAATGGCAGTTTACTAACAAGCATTTCAAATGATTCCAATTACTCTTACAATGGCACACGTTCTTCGGCCACAACAAAAATTAGTTATTGTGATAGCAATACGGGCGATTATTGTGACAGCCATGCGACCGATTACTGTATACAAGATCCTTTGACATTACCCAACGCGGAATTGCTAACGACCGTGCCCGAAACGGGCTACATGGCAATGACCACGCCGCTAAACCACGAGCCGGCTCAAATGAAATCCACAAATGTGGGTAATACTTGTATGTTGGATAACGGTTATGTGCTACAGAATGCATTGCCAACGAATGCCAGCGAAAAGCCATTCATGATCGCCTTTGCTGCAGACGATGGTTACGTACATCCGAATAATAATCGGCAGTCCTTCAAAAATGCGGCTATAACTAGCACAAATTATGTAACCACTATGAGGTAGAAGAAATAGCGACGAGCGAAAAGTGTTAAATATACACTGTTATGGCGTACCAAAAAGTAATAGCAAGTGACTTTTGCTTCTGCGTAGCGCCGAGCGTACACGCGCATGTGCACTATGTGGAGACTTTGCAAAAATAATGCTGCTCTCCACATAGCACAAGTGAACGCAGAAATAAAGTCAGACGTGCCTATTATTTATTAATTATAGCACACAGGTGTCCTTTTCTAACAACAAAAACAACAAAGTGAAACGAAGAAGTGCGATTAAATTGTTAGGAAACTGAAAGCTTAATATTTTTAATTTGCTTCACAGCATTTAACATTCTAATTGTTATGTATTATTTGTTTTAAAATTCTAACGAAAGTATAAAACACACCAAAAACAAAAAAACAACAACAAAAAAGGAAAGTGGTGGTCACAAATCACATTGTACTACAATACATCACAACGGTATTAGTGAATATTTATTATAGCTTTAATTAACAGTGAATTGGCGTTTATAATTAGACAACGAAGACTAGCAAATAGCAGAAAGTCGTATGGAATTTCATAACCTCAATTTCCTATAATTTAATATAAACTACATATGATATACCTCTATATGTATGTATGTTATATGGTATACGAGTCTATACTAGGCTGTCTGTTATTTCCCAAGTTGATTTTTTTTTTGATCAGACGCTCCCGGAAGTTTCAGTTTTTGCCCTAAAAAGAATTATCCAAGAAAACAAATTTTTTATTCTCAATTCTAACCTTGCTTGCCTAAATCTTTTTATTTTTCTCCTTGTATTTAACATGGGATTTTTTGATATTTTGCAATAAGCAAGTAACTTTACAGCTTTGAAAAAATGATATACTAAACTAAAATTTTCCGCTTTACATAAAACGTCTTAGAATAATTTTTATAAAAAAATTCCCTTAAAAGTTATAAGTAGTCAAAGTCAAACATTAAATGTGCGTTCATACAAGTGAATTACACATTTTGTGTTGCTCATACGACATGGTGTACTGTATGAATTCAGTACATTTGATGCATAACTTTAGCTGCGCATAACTTTTAAAGCAGTGGTTTTGTGGCAAAAATTATTAGGCTTTTTTTTGTAGAGCGGAAAATTTTGTATATTAATATCAAGGATGTAGGTTTACTTGCTTAATATTAAAAAAAATTCCATGTAATATACTTGAGAAATGAAATATGATTTAGGCAGGGTGTAAATTGAAAATTTAGCGCTTATTTATGTTAGATAATTCTTTTTAGGGCAAAATCGTCTGCGAAAAAGCATAAAATTTGGGAAATAACGGAAATTCTTATATATATTTACCTCGCCTAGCGTGAATGCATTACAAGCCAAATTCACTGTTCAAAAACGAAGTGCAGCTACAAATATAATATATAATATATAAATACATATATTATTAAATATATTTATGTATTATAAACACAAAGTCTGTCAAGTGCCTTTATTAAGCAAATTATTAATTGTTTAGCTCATTAATTTAGTTTTATGTATTTTTAGTAAAACACGCTGTATATAAGTATAAATATTATTTTTAAGTTTTTGCATGTATATATATATATATATATATAGAAGCATATACAGCTATCACTTGACGTGAATGTTAACGAAAAAACATAATTTTATTATTAATTTAATTATCACTAAGGTGGCCTTTTACGCAATATTTGTATTAGAAATCTTTAGATTTATAAGCCTCAACAGCATTTTTAGCTTAAATGAAAAAAATGTATTGCAAAAATTAAAATATATTTATAAAAACAACAAACCAAACGATGATTTAATATTTCCTGCCCGCTACCGCACGCAGTACACTGGTTAACTACACCGTTAAGTCTAAATTTTGACACTGAAATTCAATTTAAAGCAAATGCTTAAAAAATATAAACAATAAACTTGTTTAATCAAAATTGTTTAATAAAATATTTTGTTAAATTGGGTTCGAACAAGCTTTTCGGATACTAAATGAATTGCTTTGCTATTCGCATTTTCCGCTTAAAAATCTGTTTTTCCTTAAAAATTGTGTGAATGCTATTTTTTGTATTTCAAACCGGTAAAGGGCCTAAAGTGTAGATAAGTTCATTATAATTTTAAGGAATACACTTGGAGTTTGCATGAATTAACGAATTGGCTCGTCAGGTTTTAAAGGTTTTATGTTATAAAGCGAAAATGTATTTGTATAATTTTTATGAATTTTAGTGAACAAGTATTGGAGTAAAAATTAATTTTTTTAACTAAAAAATGGAGTTTTAATTAATAAATATATATATTTTATACTCTTCCAACATGTTGCTAAAGAGTATAATAGTTTTATCTTAATTTCAGAATTATCCATTTTTAGCTTAAATGCATGATTTAAAAACATAAATTTATTAGTTAAAAGATTTTCTTTTATTAATAAATTTATTTTATTGTAATTAAAAAAAATCATAATTAAAAAATATTTTAAGAGGAGAACTATTCATTTTTAATATTTTAACAAGTTAAGATGCAATAAAAAAAAATTTAATATACAAAAATAATTTTCCATTATTAGTTTAAAAATTAAATTTATGGATACAAAACTCTTTCATTATTTTTATTATATTAATTAGAAAATAAAAAATTAAATTAAAAATTATTTTAGGAGAGCTATATTTTTAATATTTTACCAGTTACAACACAAAAAAAAAATATATTTAATTGAAATACTTTTTTAAAATAAAAAAATACTTCTTTTGAAGTAAATAAAATACTTTTTTTTGAAATAAATAATATACTTTTTTGAAATAAATAATATACTTTTTTGAAATAACTAATATACTTTTTTTAAAATAAATAATATACTTTTTCTTAAATAAAATAAATATTTATATTATATTGGAATAAAAGAATTTTTAATAATATTTAAAAATAATATTTTTTTTTATTTTCAATATTAAAATAATTTTTTTTTTATTTTCAATATTAAAATAATTTTTTTTTATTTTCAATATTAAAATAATTTTTTTTTATTTATACATATATTTTTTATAATGAATTAAATTTATTTATTAAAAATATATCTATAAATAAAAAATAATAATTTATTATAACCTTATTATTAATAGAAATACATTAGCTAATAAAAACTTTTAGTTAATAAAAATTATATTATTAATAAAAAAAATACTGAATAATCAATTTTTTTAATCCATAAATTTATTTTTTAAGCTAAAAAAATAAATAAAAATAAAATAATTTTTTTTTATATAAATATATTTCGTTATATGTACATATTTATTATATAAAATATATTTCTATATGTTTTAATTCTTAATTTAAGTTATAAAATTTAATGGAGATTATTTTCTATGTAAGTAATTAGACTAGCTATCAGCACTTTCAGCTTTTGTAGTGTCATATTGAGATTACAAGGTTAGTACGCAAGTCCTCGTTTATATGTATTTATAAATATTTATTCCAAATGTTTTAAAATTTATTGAAAGTCGCAAACAAATTAAACACATTAAATATTTTTTTTTTGGAAATTAAATTTAATTTTGAACTTTATACAGTGCCTTAATTGTGTGAAAAAGTAATTTTAATATGCATTTTAATTGACGAATCCGAAAAATTTTAAACTAAAACAAACAAACATTGGCAAAAGTGTAATAAATTAAAATTTTTACATAAAATTTTCTATATATTTACACGAATATATAAAACGTACTGAGTAAACTCTAAACAACAAAATAAAAATATAATTGCTTTCTAACGCAAAGTTATTTTTTATTTTTAAAATATTTTATTCAAATTAACATCTAATGCTTTACTGATTTACGTGTCCATGTCCATTGTACTACTATAAATTAAAAATAATATCTTTACATACCTTTATGCTGTATATAAATTAATTTAGAGTGAAGCAAGTAGAAAATTCTGTAAATTTATATAAATCTTGTTTTCGAAATAAAATTGAAGTTTATTGACTGTTTAACAAATTAATTTTAATTTTGTTGCTCTTCTCATATATGAAAGCTGTGTTGTTGTTTTTAATGTTTACTAATGATTTATATACCTATGTATACTTTTACCATAAATTCATAAATTTATGTATTGTAGAACAGACTGTTGTGAAAAGGAACTGTTTTTTATATTGTCGACTGGCTGTCCACTCAAGAATATGAAGCCTATCAATATTTTGTAACTCCATACTGGTTTAATTAAATTGGAAACTGGTGGGGTTATTAACAGTAAAATCCACGCTCCCGTGCCAAATTTTGTATTTTGAACCATCTGGAAACCTCTGTACCGACGGTGCTACCGATACCTGTTTTTGATCCAATCTTCTTCTCTTGTAGACGATTATAATCCGTCTCCCAAGAAAGCATGCTTTTATTGGTCAGATGTTCACTATTGCCAGAATTTTATAATTAGGTCGAGTAATACAACGTTTCTCTAATGTTTTGGGTAAGCACCCACATACATAACTTGCTTGAAATCGATAAGCCATTTCATTTGGACTCATTAATATCCTATAATTTTTTCGTTTTTCTTTTAAAAACCTCTTTAAAAAAAATTTGTGTTAAATTTAGGTATCGAATGCGGATGCGGCCGTCATCCATACATAAGGGGTTACCTGGCTTTCCTCGAGCAGGAAACGGCATTTTTTCAATATTTTTTTTTCCATAAAAAAATTAAATAATTTATTCAGACTTTTTATTATTCCAAAGATACATATTTTACTAAGATCTGGTGAAATTTTCAAAGGAAAATATTCAAAGCTCGGCCATTAGGACGTCATTTCCGGCAGTCTCTCGGATGCTTCCACGTTGACAGCAGAACTTCTTACAGGATCATTTGAAGTAAAAAGAAAAAAATATGTGTTTAAATTAACATCATAACTACAAGGTGCGTTCCAAAGTAAACAGGAATTTAAAAAAAAAGACAGAACAAATGGATTTATCGGCAAAATCAATTAAATTTATTCAAAATAGTCTCCTTCTGCTTTAATACAGCTTTTTGCACGGTCCAAAAGCATGTCGAACAAGTGTTTTAGCTCGTTGCCCGGTATTCCCGCCAGTATGCCGGTGCAAGCCTTTTGAATGGCCTACACGTCTGCATAACGTTTTCCTTTCATCGGCAAATGCATTTTTCCGAAAAGGTAGAAGTCGCACGGTGCCATATCAGGTTAATACGGTGAGTGGTTGATTGTTAAAATGTGATTTTTGGTCAAATAATCGGCCAGAAGCGTCGATCGATAAGCTCGAAACATTTGAAAAATTTCATGACACCTATCAACATATCTGCGACATCAGTAATTTCTCGCATTTATTATTTTGAATAACATATTCAGAGCATATATGTACATATACGAGTATATATGTATGTATGCTCGATAGACGATGCTGTAGTCGAAATATCTCTCAAACCTGCAATCCACCTTATGTTTATACATTTCTTAGGTATTAGACATTTCTGACTAGAAACGAGAAACGAAAAATTTTCCATCTTGCCAACACTCTCCCTTATGTCGCAAGAAAAAAGGAAAACTATTTGTAAAACAGCGGCTGAGAAGTTTTGCTTCAACCGCCTTATTGCCCAGACTTTGCTACTTCTGTCTACCAGGCTCAGCTTTAAGATCTTTACGGGCTACTCTCTAGTTGCTTATGCTTCTAAGAATCCGCTGACAATCCTAAACATAAGTTCAATACTTACCCAAGTCTCTTAATTGAAGTATATATGTATATAGACAGAAGAGCAGTCATTATCAACATAATTTATTATTTTCAACGTAATTTGGTTTATTCATACGAGTATTCTTACAATAGCATTTATTTTTCGGACAATTCTGGGTTCGTGGATCACGTGACTTTTTTTCTTTCATACGATAGTTTTATTTTTAAATTATTTTTTATTTATTTTTACAATATATATTTGTGGCTTTGCAATAGACAAGTGAACTATTCGGTGTGGGTGTGTAAGTGTGAGGGCGTGAGAGTTGAAGGTGCATTAGAAAAAATATGCCTAAATATATTTATTTCTATTATTTTACTTTTTTTTAATTTTTCTAATACATATTTGCATGTATTTATATATATATATATAATATTTTATTTATATAACTATTTTTTCTCTCTTTTAGCTTAAGTAAAACTTGAATAGCAATATATGCGTAATTAATTATCTAGTTTTTTTTTGTTTAACTAACTTTTATAGCATTTTCTCTAGCCAACACTGTGCTTGTACATATACATACTCGTATAACACATAATATATAATATGTATGTATATGTAGGTATGTATGCATGTGTGCATGGTCTAAAAGTAAAATGAGACTTTAATACAATTCGTTCGCCACTTAAATACTATTTCAATATTCTCTCTTTTCCGCTCTGAAATTACGACTAGACACTTATTATAGGTGAATGGGTGTGCGATTTGTTTTTGTTAGGTCTTCTACCCCAAATATACATGTACCATATAATATTTTCGAATTAACAGTTGGACACGAACGGCTGGCGTGAGAATTCTCACTTCTTTTGGTTTTTATTTTGAAAATAAATATTGCTCTATAATTTTCACTTTAGTTTCGCTTTCAATTGTCATAATAAGTATAACTTTTACTTCTTTTTAGCTCTACAAGTATACTATTTATATTTTATGTATGTAAATATATCATTTATCTTATCTATACGTTTAGCTTAGTTAGTTTTTTCTATTTAAGATACCACTTTTGAAATTGCAGTGAACTTATTTCAAACACTCTTATATTTGTATGTATGCTTGCAGGTAAGTAAAAGTAGTATGTAGTGCTCTCTGTCTTCAGATTTACAGTCGCGCGCAAGTGTAATGGGACATGGGCGTAAGTTTTTATAGAAAAAAATATAATTATGGCATTTAAATTGTAGAAATTTAAAATTAATACATATGAAAGAATTCTATGGAACCCTAAAAAAATGAGTTATTTGTCCTTATAGTGCTAAAATTTAATTTTTAATTCGAACCTGTACTTTCGTTGTAGATTTACGTGAGTACCTGCCGGCGACGGCCTTACCTCACGGTGTTCAAAACACAACGGATCAATACAATGCGTTGATCAGCGCCCCAAACAAAACGAGCTTATGCAAGTATTTATTTGGATACCAGTGGCAGTGTGTCTGGGTCCACACTACCATCTTGGTATGATTCGAGGCCGACCTAAAACCTCTTCCGTTTTCGGGTACGGCACCCAGTTACTTATGTAACTTCTTTTTTCGAACTGAAAATTCAGTTCTTCCAGCATTTAGGTTTAAACCACAGCCACCACGATACTCCCCAAAGGGCCGAACCCAATGAGCAGATTGAACAGAAGTCCAAGGGCTTTCTGCTCCCCGTGGTACCGGAAAGTCTCCGGTCAGACTGCGTAGCCTAAACTACTGCCAGTTGAGCTCCCCATTACTCAAATGACTGGTGACATTTGTCGCTTGAACTTCAAATGTCTTTTTATTTGCTTTTTCATTTAAAGTGTTTCTAATATCAGTTCAAGCTGAGTATTATAGCACTATCACTCCACATACTATGCTGATATTACTGGGCAAAGAATATAATAACAGTCATAGTGCATATTGGCTTTTAGTCGCCTTTTACGACAGGCATGCCTTGCCGCGGGCATATTCTTTCCCCAAACCCGCAGGGGAATTCGAACCTGTACTGTCAACAATTTTACAGAAAGAAAAAAATTGCTCAGAAGCGGTCAGCTTTGGTCATTAGGAGAGGAATTGTGTTCCGTCAAGACAACGCCGGGCCACATACATCGATAATGACTCGCCAAAAGCTCGGAAAGCTTAGTTGGGAGGGTCTTAACCACCCAGAAAGAAAGTTTGAACTTGGCACCAAGTGAATACAACCTATTCCTGTCTATGCTGAATGATGGTTTTTGGGAAAAAATTGGCTCAAGATAGGCTTTAGAAAATCGATTGTCCCAATTTTTTGCCAATAAAGACGAGGGATTCTAAGAGTGGCATTATGAAATTATCGTCAAAATGGCAACAAGTTATCGAACCAAACAGTGCATATTTGACAAAAAAAATCGGATAATTTTAACTATGTTAAATAAAATTTTAAATTTAACACAAAAATATTAAATATTTTTTTACTAGACCTCGTATACTCGGCATGAGGACATTACTATAACAGAAAGGGGTTATAAAAGTTATATAAATAATTAGGTTGAAAGTGTGCATTATAAGGCCGACATTTTTATTGACTTCCTTTGTAGAACATTTCAAACCTCCAAAAATCATAGTATAAAAAAACGGTCCATACTAATAAATGCACTCTTTATCTTATATATTTTACTACCTCTTTTTAAAGACGATGTATGGAATTTAGTTTTAGTGGAAATTAATAAAGTAATTAGTAATTTGTTTAGCTCTGTCCCATTTCTTTTTCTTGCAACTGTATGTATTCTGCGAATCAACCTACGCAGGCATTTTCGTTTTGATCTATTTTAACAAATTCTTTTAGTTCTTTGTGATTTTTGTATTATTTGTTACATTCACTATAGGATTCCTTTAGACATGCTCATTTATTACGTTTTATGTAGAAGCATAAAATGTGGTGTAAAGTGTTGTTGTTGGTTTATTTTTTTTAATACCCGTTTAAATTTCTGCAAGGATCGTATTTTGAAACTTTTATCACAGAATTTTTATCTAATAGTTATAATACACACGCACATTTATATAGTATTATTTGTGTGTGTGTGTGTGTAAAGCGTTTTTGCACAAAAGCTGTTAAAAAATTGCTATCCACTTCTTTAATTTGAATTAGATCTTTTGGTCTAAGTCCTTTATATATGAGAAAGGTAAAAATCATGACAGAAAAACTTCTATAATTGAAAAAATATCGATGAATGCACACAGACCTCCAGAAATCGTTTTTTCAGACGATATAAATAAACTGGAACATCACCGGGTGAAGCGTATCGAGCCAAAAGCAGACTACTCATACGATGAAAAATAATTCGTAATTTTTCTGAAATTTACATTTTTGTTTTGTTGATTCAGTAATTACCGCACCGCCCTCGTAGGTCACTAGAGGAATTTTGTAAAATATAATTTTCGAAGTAAAGAATTTTTATGTGCAGCATTTCTCCCGATAAATAGCGTGCAAGTTTCGCTTATATACCGTGTTTATATGTGTATATGTTTATTAGTTAATTGCCTAGCTAGTATTTGGTAGTGTGCAGTATTTGCTGTAAATATACAACATGTTTTTTTTTTTTGGTAATATGTGATTGCCAGCCAAAATTGCAGCTTGTTATTATTGCAATATTTATATTTTTCTGTGCAAGTAACAACAAATAAAGTACTTAAACGACGTTAATTATACATATACATATACTATATCATATATATTAATTTAAATTTCACAAATTGTTGCAACTAACCGCAAATATTTTTAATTATTTTTATTTAATTAATCACAAATAATATTGCATTAATTTCACAACTATTCACATTTAATTAATTCAATAATTTATATTCAAGATTTGTATTGCAATGGTTTTAGCATAACACTGTTTGTTGTTATTGTTGTTTACTTTTTCGTTAGAGTTATCCAATTGTACATTTGCTTAATTATGTATTATTTTTATTTTTAAATTTAGTTTTTATTACAAAATCAGTCTCAATACAATAAGCCATCATCAAAAATTTGCTTAACTGTAAAATCTGAACGCGAAAAAAAAAACGTTTGCCTATATAATATACATGTGTATCATACAAATACATACATATGTACATAAGTTATGTTCTTATATACTACCTATTTTATATATCATATATCTATCATATAATTTTCTCTTTGCCGTAATGTTACGTATACGCCTAGTCGACCTGTCACACTGAATAAGATTTGAGGTGAGAAAATTTTAATGTAATTGTTGTTGTGTTTTTGTGAATTTAATGGTAATTGTATGTATACAGTTTGAAAATATTGATAGTTAGAAATATTTAACATTTTCTTTTTAGTAAAAGATATATAATGTTTGCTGGAACAGTTGTTGTATAACTTTAGCGCATTATTACAATAGAAAAAACGTTGAAATATAAATGATACTCATTTTTTTTAACAAATATCAACTAAATTTGTAGAATACACGCAAAATGTACAAAAGAAAAACTAAATTTCTGAATATTTTTGAAATCACGCTTAAATTTTATTTTAAAAATTTGTAAAAGTAAAAATTTGAATGAATAAATATCGAAAATTTGCATAATATTTAAATAATTTTCGAGTTTAAATCGAACTTTTGAAATATCACTAACATTAGAACCATAAAATCAACATCTTTTTGTTTGTAAAGCGCTTAATTTGGCATATTTAAAAAAATTTACAATATTTTTAAAAAATGTCTCTATATGAATTCCGTATATAAAATGAAATATTTTTAAGTTTAAAATATATATTAAAGAGTGTAGAAGTAAGAGATAAAAATCATAATTTCAAGAAAATATTGCAGCGAAGTATCTACTGAGGAGATAATGTAATGAGTGCTATTTCAAAAATATCAAGCGCTACATACTTCTATCTACAGTAATCCTTCTTCGTATATTTTGTTAACACAAATTTATTTCTTGAACTTCAAAATCATCAAAATCAATATATTTAAAAGCTTTTTTTTCGATGGGCCTTATAATTTATATGGGTGTATATACCCTGTATAATTGCAAAGTGCTTTATAACCTACATTACTCTATTTTTTTTTTGCAAATTACTTGTAATTTACCATAACTACATTTGCTGTTACATAACTAGGTGAATGTCGAACTGTTCTTAATTTTGTGCTAGGCTTTGTTATATTATCTGTATTTATATATGTACAGTACAGTTAACTCATTTAGGACTACTACAGTTTTGCACAAGCAATAGTTATTAATGCTTATCTAAAGGTTTACATTCTAAAATTAATCGGTTTTGTTTAGAGCTTTTCATTATTTATTATAATTTTTTTGTATTCAATAAAAATTATATGAACCTTATTGCTAACTGACATATATTATATCGAATTTATTTAATTAATTTATTATTTATGCATGCTTCCTTATCTGCTTATATTGCTTTGGGTTTTGGAGTAGTTTATACGAATTGTGAATATAAAAAATGAATAAAAATCAGAAAAGATATCAACACGAATAACTATTAGTACATATGTTAAATTATAATTTAATGATTTTATTAACTAAAGTATACTTTTGTGAGGACTAGTAATACATATGTGTATGCTTTAACATTTGTTTGTGAATAAAATATTAAGAAAATAAAGCTACTCTTGTTGTTTTTTAAACAATATCTTAGAGCAATCGATAGAAAAAAACAGATAAATTTTGAAGATATTTAGAAATTTAAGCAATCATACTATATGTAAGTATGTACGGAGGATTTGAAATGAAGGAAGTAAACGAAAGGTTTATAACTTTAAAAAATAATTTTTAGTGTATGAGATCATTGCTTTTGTCTATTTTTCAGATTTAAAGCATCAAACATTTATATGTTTCACCTATTAAATGTGTCTCCTAAATCACATAATGAGATTCAAATAAGAAACTAAGGCTAAATACAAAGTTAAATAGTATTTGAATGAAATTCCGCTATATGTTCAGCTTAATATTATCTGATCAAATTGCACTCGGACTGGTCCATTTAAATAGCGAGGGCAAACCAATTCGATAAAATCTTGCGAGGTATTTTAAAGAAACAGTGCTTCAAAATCGTCGTGTTGTCATCAGAGAGATAGCAGAAAATCTTAACATCTCTTATGGATCGACTCAACCCATTTTGTTAAAGGTTTTGTGTATGACGTGTGCCATTATTCGACTCAACGATTTGAATCTTTTGCAAAACGTCGTTGAGTAGAGGTCGCAAAAGAGATGCTTGACAATGTCGCTGAGTACCCTATATTCATAAATGCATCATAATTGGTGACGAGACGTAGATTATAAAATTGACGATAAAACTTTACAACAATCTAGCGAATGGAAAAAACAAAATTCGCTGAATGCACTGTCAGCCATCCCAGCCGAGGCTCATAACAAGTGTATGGAAAATTGGATTAAGCGTTGGCATGCTGGTATTGACTGAGGAGCCTATTTTGAAGGCGATAATAAGGATTTGTATTAAAGTAAAAATAAAATAAAATACGTGGGAATGTTGTTGTTTTTTTGTTAGTTTGGATCGAATTTGCTAAGATAGTAATTTTAGTTAATAATATATAAATCCTTGCTGTTTTATTTAATTTTTAAGCTAAATAGTTTCCTCCAGTGCTTGGTTATGTATGGTATGCATTTAAAATAAATTGTTGATCTATACAAGCTTAGTTCTTAAAAAACTTAATAAAAAAAATTGTGTTTAAATACCATAAATTAAAATGTTCTAATAATAAGTCTATAAACACTCATTAATAAACTCATTTATATGACAGTAATGATCTATTTTTACACCCGTACAACGTATTGTATAGGGTAGAATACTTTTGTGTTTTGTTTTTTTGTCTAATTTGTTGTTTTTGTGTTAGTTTATCATCAAACAAAATTAACACAGCGCAAATTGTTGAGCACATTTCACCTATTATAAATAATTTAATGCTTAAGTTAAGTAATTACTTTATATTATATACTTATATATACTAACTATATATGTATGTACATATATATGGATATACCATGTACATATGCAACATTTGCATATTTTGCTTTTAAGAACTTCATGTAGCTCAAGTGGAATTTAGAATGCTTTTGCAATGCTATTGCTTCGGATACAACTGTACATATGTTACATACAAGTGGATTTAGGCGTGTCCATTTTCGGTAAGGGCGCACAATAAAACATGTTATTTGTATGTAAATTTTATATATATACTATATATTCTAACTCACATCTGCAACTGTGTGCGTGTGTATGTGTGGTTCTAAGTACTGGGCACAGTTACTTAGGTCTATGCATATTTACTGCTTAAACATGTATGCATGTAATATAGATACGCTATATGTAGCATATACATATATATTATACATACATACAAGTGGATTTATATGTATATCTAACTATGTGCCTACCACTGTTTTACATTCACGAAAAATCAATTCCATATTTAACTAACTTTAATATCTATACTTAAATATATAAGCACTAGTGTCTGCACTATTATCTAGTTTTTTTTTAGGCTACAACCTATACAACTACACTTTACGCTATTAATGCATATTTGTTGTAAACACAGTGTATACACACCTAAATATTACGTAATATTCGTAAATTTCAGCCTTACGCTACGCCCCTTAGCGGTTCGCGGCAAACACAACCAACTCGTGCCCGACTTCGTTATAGCGGCATTTGTCTAATCGCTATTTAGATCGTCGCCGATGAGACTGCGATCCATGCCCTTCCAGTTGCTGGAGTTGAGTGCAGCGGCTGTGATGCCATAAGTACCGCTAGGCAGGCGCTTTTGCCGACATAACGCTATGCGCGTCTTGTTGGGCGATGTCGGTTGTAGCAACGGCGATGTGGCTTGTGGTGAGTCCATGTCGTCGGTATTCTCTTCGGGACAACTATCCGATGGTGAGGCTAGACGCTCACGAGTTTTTATGGACTTTTTCAAGCGACGCAAAAATCTATATTGAAGCAATGGGATTAGAATTTTGCAAAATATTTCTGAGAATTTTCGAGTAAGAGGTGTGAAAGGATGTGGATGTGTGGACCTTCAGGTAAGGCTAGCCTTCAACTGTTCCTATTTTAACTTTAAAGCAGAAGCAAAGACTTTTTGGGAATTTGCTTGCCGTGGTTCTTGTTCTATTCTGACTTCAACTTCAGTAGTTATAGGATTAAGGATTGTTAGCACTTGGTTTTACGAACACAATTATATAATCTTACATTAAATATATTAAAACCTTACCTTATTTGATTGCCGATCGCACGCAAACGATTTATTTTACATTTCGGCTTAACAGTTTCAGTATCTTCCTTTACAATGCTGGGTGATATACGACGCAATAAAGCCTTTGTGCAGATAGAATGAAAATTTGTATAAACCATAAAAATTAATTTTGAAATTTAAACTAAAAACCCTTACATCGGCCACCTCTTCTTCGCTGAGGCTCTCCTGTTTTCGTGGACGCTTCTCACGATTCGGAGAATTGAGACCTGTAAGAAACAGAAAATATAATTTGAATCGGTATAGAGATCGAGTCATACGCGTTAACTTACGCCGCGGCAGAGGTCGTGTTAGAGCCAACTCTTTGGGTGAAACTAGACTCTCCGATGAGGATGAGCTGCTCGCTACTGGTGGTCGGCTATTGAGACGTCTCTTTGGGCTCTTACGTGTGGTAACTGCCGAAACTGGGCAGGGGTGATGATGCGAAAGACAATGCTTACTACATGTATGTGTACTACTGCTCGGCGTAGTGGTCGATGCAGTCAGCGACTCCTTGCTCGGTAAATCGAGTTGTTGCTTTGTCGGCGATTGTGTGGCTGAACATTTCGATGATTTGCGTTCGCGCTTTTTACTGCTGCTGCGACGCTGATGTGTGAAGGAGCCGCCTTTACCATCCGACGATGGAAAGTCATAGAGGCCATCTGAATCGGTGAATGGCAATTGATCCTTACGTCCATAAAAATGTGGCGAAAAGCGTCCCATACTGGCGCGTTCACTCAGCGGACTTTCCGAACGCGACGACACCGGTGACAGACCCTTTTCGTTACCATCAATTTGTATCACAATAGAAGGCAGTTGCAGTTGTGCCATTTGATGGCTGGCACTCGTGCTGCTGACGGTGCTGGTATTGGCCGCTTGTTGCGGTTCGTCTACCTCGATTAGCACGTGCTCGGCCATGTAGGCACCGAGAGTTTTGAAGCGATTGCTGCTCAAGCGACAATCATCCATTTTCTCGTCGACGTGATCAGTGCCAATACCTTCGTCATTCGACTCCAATATGATTTCGTCCGAGAACGTCTCAGAATCGGAACGTGGTCTATGCAAATGATCAGTACTGCTGCCTGTCGCGCCACTTTCAGCGCCCGCACCTTTACCATTCGTTATGTTCTCTTTACAGCTGGCTAATGCAGAGTTTTTTCGCCTATTCAAAAGATTTACATGCAGTGAAAGACCACCACCGGAATGTCCACTGCCTGGCTCATCCATTTCGCCAGGACATAATGGATTACTAGAGCCGCAGCGACTCGGACCGGGGCTCGCCATGCTTGAATAGCCGGAAGAGCTGAGATTGCTTTCAGAGATGGTGCGATCGGCACGACTGCACATTGTGAATGGACTCAGGTAGCACATACCAACAGGGTTTGGTGGCATCAAACCGCCTGGATTGCCGGTTTTCGTGGCTGGTGACATTGGCTCGGTATCCGATTCCAGTTCACTCATATTGGAAGTGACGGTAATCATTGGCGGTACAAAGGGAAATTCTAGCGAGTTCGGTTTTTCAAATTGTTTTAAGAGCCTGTCGAAAAGAGTCGGAGGAAAAATTAGATATTTATGACGGAGTTTTACATATATGATTTAGGATTGTTTTCAGTTTCCAGGCTAGAAAATATAAGCTATGAACTTCTAGGTGATATAGTAGGTGGATTCACTAATACACACGCATGTACATTTCAACATGTGCGCTCGAATAAGTGAGTAAAGAACTAAAACGCTGTGAATGGCTCGCCTAAATGAAGCTAAGGAATACGACTGCACATAATATTAGTGTGAATATAGATAAATAATTAATTGAATTTCGAACACAGTATGGAACAACGAAAAATAAAGAAACGAAAAGCGATGTGCACTACTTATATACCTTTTTTGTTGTTGCTTATTTGGAAACATAAAACTGGTTTCACCTATGCTGGCTCGTTGCGGTGGTGGTGATCCCGGGAATATGATCATCGGGTGACGATTTCTCGTTGGACTCGGATGCTCCACCGTCAATGTTGGTATGATGAGATCACGTGGTCGCGGTGTTCTCTCCTCCGGTGTTGGCGGTTCCACATCAATGACAATCGCTGGTGGCTTCAATGCCACAACTCCAGCATTCATAATGGTGTTAGTTGCCTGGAGACCGCTTGCTGTCGGCGTGGGTGGTGAGAATCTCAAGAGCGGTAGTTTATTCAGTAAATCCGCTCCACGGTTCTGACCTGCCATGGAGGTGGTGGCGGTGTCAGTGGGCGTTGTCTCCACATCACTATCAATAATGACATGCGTTTTACCCGTATGCAGATCCAGTACGATCTTCTCCTTGGACAATGTTTATGAGAAATAAAAACGAAAAATGCAACATTAGAGAAAAAGTAACATCGGAATTTTAATGGTTTTGCATAGTTTTAAAGCAGCATGGTAAAAATAAAGCAATGTAACTGATTTTTAAAAATTACTATGTTATGGAGATAGTAAATCTGATGAATCTTGCGTTCTGCTTTAAGTGAGTATTATTAAAGGTCTACCGTTTTGAACCCTTTGGAACATGCTTTACTTTTTATCTCATGATCTTGTGAACTTCTTGTTGTGCAAAATGTAGTTTAGATAAGGATAGTGTTAAGTTATAATTATTTTCCTAGTCCATATGTTTTTATAGAACTCGCCTCCATTATTCCATATAGTGTAATATAAAGCGCCGTATGAAAAAAGTTTATAGATCTATATATCGAAGAATGGTTCTCACTAACGTAATTGATCCATCAAACCATCACGATGGGCTTAAATTGCGAGGCAACTCACACCGATTTCAATACGGTACGAGATCATTTGAATACACAAGAATATTTTCTCTCATTTTATAAATATATTTTTAGGTCTTTCTTAAATTATTGCAAAATTACTAGCTCATCCTACACGTATACGAAATATAAAATACTTGCACCATTGTAGATGAAATATTCAAGTGATTTTTATGAAGATCGCAGAAAATATCGGATATGGCGAGATTATATCGGTTGACTATACCTTTGTAAACTATTTTATTTAGCTATCTATTTAAGAATGTTCTTCTTCCTTACTTAAGACTGTAATTTTTAAGATCTTATAAGTTCTTTAAACGTTAATATAGATGCATAAGTTTAGCAGTATCCTTAATTTTATATGGTTAGATTAGATGTTCTATAAATTTGTGTTAAGAGACTAGCATTAAATATGAAATATGAAAGCATGTCCAAGAGTAGAGTAATAGCTTTACATAGCAACAGAGTTTGTAGTTTTTCTCAGCTAAACCACCTATGGTTTTTGCGTCCGAATTGTATAATTATACCATCATCTGAGTCAATCTGCGTTGATTGTGTTTATTAAGAAAAAATGTTTAACCTGATAAATAAGTCTCAAAATGTATTATATGTTATATTCACTTAAGGAAACATTTAGAAATATGTATGTATATTATTACAAATTATATGGTAATGAAAAATTAAATGCGATCATGGCTCTCTATATATATACATATATCTCATAACTCTATCAACCATGCTGTGGTTGGTTTAAGGACGACGGAGTAAACCGAAAACACGAAATTGTTCGTGTTGTTTAGGGCTATGATTTTACTTAGATGAGTGAAATAAGATCATTTTGGGTAATTCGTTGAAGGAGGAAGCAATTTTATTAGTCATCGTCTGTTTTACATGCATTGCTCTTTGAATATAACTAAATTTTTATGTAAACAGCCTTAACAAAGAAACTTTCCGGGAATGAAGAAAATTAGGGCAAACCTAGGTTAAGTTAGGTTAAATGGCTGCTCTTTCAACATGACACTTAGACTGTTATGTAAGGTCCTTTGTAAAGCCAGACGAAAAAATGCTGTGGTGGGATATCAGCTAACCTTCCAAACAGCCGATGCAGCAAGCATAATCCCGATCGGACAGTGTCCACTTAGAACTCCTACAACCGTTGAAAGGTGGACCTTGCTGAGAGCGCAGATTTCCCTAGACCTCTAACGATTTACCCTGCACCAGAAGGACCTTGCGACTGCACAGCTGCTGATAGTTGACCTACGCTTGTTGAGCTGGTCTGAGATCCAACAGTCCAATAAGCGAAAAACCTAACATTTAAATGAAAATGGATAAATTTACTCATGGGCAAATCTGTCTCTAACTTCTACTCATTTTTTTTAAATGTACTGCTTGAATAGTAGGCTATATCTCAACTTCTATTTCGCTTAGAAAAAATATAGTAAACGTTAAAATGTTATTCATATATTAAGGCTTCTTGACTTTGGGACTTTCAGACTTCGGAGTGGATAGAGGACTTTTCAACTTAAAAATAGTCCAACAAGATAGTTCGGACAGTAATATATTGTATCAACAAATAATGGAGGATATGTGTAGAGTTTATCTTTCGCATATCTTCCTAACCTCAATATTAGTACGGACAATCTTACTCACCGACATCTGTTCATCACTGCAGTCACTGCGTATGCTCTTCTGCTCATCGTCGCTGTAATCACAGGTCGACAGTGGATCTTCCTGGAATATCGGACTGTTTGAACGCTGTGGCCGTGGCATAATCGGTGTGAGAGCTGGCGACGGCATCGGTGTAGGCATCTCACGTATTGGCGATAGACACTTATTATTAATACCATTGCTAGGTATCTCAAGCAGTATAGTCGGTGGGTGCAGTAAGTTCGTAGACGATGACGAGTTCGATGACGATGGTGTTGATGAAGATTTGTGCGCATTAAGAACATCGAGCACGGGCACCTCAATCGTGGTTTGACGATAGAATATCGGCGAATCGGGTGGACCACTCGAAAAACTAACCGGCGTATGCATAGACGAAGTGGAGGATTCATCATCGCCGGGTGCATCATCTTGTGGACTAGAAGCGTTTGGGGTTGTTGATGGTGATACATATACAGATGCACTATGCGTTATGTTAGCAGTGTTTGTGTTGGTACTTGAGGCAGTTGTTATTGCATAGGCGTTTGCATTTGATGAAGAGGAAGCAAGATTACGGAACATAGCTAAAATGGAGTCGGCACTTGAGACTTTCGGGCGTGCAATTGTGCCGATACGACTACGTGATGGTCCGCCAAAGCCCGCGGCAATACCGAGCGGCAGATGGGTATTGTGATTTGTGCCACCGATATCACTGCCACTGGTCTGCATCGAACGCAAACCGAAATCGGTAAGTGCTAAGTCGGAACTGGATAGTGAGTCGCTACCCTGATTCGATGAGGTGCTGTGCGGTGAACGTATATCGTTTGTGCACGGTGACGCAGGCACTGAGCTGCCGCGAAACTGTAAATCAGTTGGTAGGCTGAGGGCACTCGAGTTCCGTGCGTTCTAAGGGTGTGCAGTGATGAGGGAGTAGCGCAGGAGGAGGAGAGAAAAGACAATGTAAGTGAATGAGTTTCAAGTTATATGACAGAAAATGAAAGTAAAACATAAATAATATGATTCGTGCGGTCCTCATCCTTTTTATATTTTAATTTAACATAACCTATAAATGTATTTTAAAATTCGACAACGGACTTAAAAACTTTCGGACAATAATGCACACATTTTCATTTTTTTTTGACTAGTACTACTTAGAGTAGGGCTTAATGTTAGAAAAGTACAGTTCTGTGATAACAAATAGCAGTTGTTTGTTTGTGGAATGAAGAGTGCAGCGAGTATAAGCACTATATAGCGTTGGTAGTGTTCAAAGAAAAGCCTCTCTCTCTTCCGGATCCTGAGTATATGGACATAAATATTTTGATTTCTTTGCCTGAGAATTTAAAACTCACTTTAGTATACTGTCACAATGTCTAGACTAGAATTTTCTATTAGCTATTATCGTCAGTAATCATTTATCGACCACCTATCATCCAACACCATACTCACCGTCATATGTCCAATATCCATATCCGAACCAGAGCTCATTTCAGCAGACACTTTATTCAGCAGTCGCGCGAATGTCACCTTCTTCTCGAGTTTCGGATCGGCAATTGTGCGTGCAACATTCGCTACATTTGTCGATGTCAGCGAGCCAGAATTCTCAGAGAATGTAGTCTCTTTAACATCGCTCTCGGAGTCGACATTGCTGGCCGAAGCGCGCAGACGATTCTCCGTCATGTTGATGAGCTCGCCGAGGCTAACTTTCGGCTTGTCCACATTCGTTGCCGGCGAGACTAGTTGTTGTAAAATTTGTTTCTTTTCGGCAGCATTTTTCTTTACCGGCGTAGAGTTGTTGCGCTTCTTGCGTGGCGACGGCGAACCTGTTGATAGCGTAAAAAATTTTACATATTAGCAGCGGTTCTTCGGAGATTATTCTCTGTATATGTAACTACAAAGATGTCTCACATATAAAACACAAACAAATGCTAGGTAAATAAAGCACATTCAATTACATACAAATGAGTGAAGAGGAGAAAAAGCAGTTGTGAAAGCGTAATGTGATGGTGTTATGTGCTGGGAAATTGGAAAAAGTACAGGCAACTCTCCTTTAAAACTTAGAGAATATATTGACAGCTATTTGAACTGACAGCTTAGGTTCGATGGTTGATACTCAAGATGGTGACCGCACTTGGACTGCTTTGTGTCTTTTGTGTAGCCATAAAAATAGAACTGCTGTATCCGATCTTTTAAGTCGACAAAGTGCCTTGAGGTCAATACAAATTTGATTAGGTGTTTAATTTATATTTTCACCAGCTCAGTTATATCTCAGATATCTGAAATTGTGAGCTCTCAATTGTTTAAGATTTGTTCTAGCAAAGGCGGTACAATCAAGAATGACGTGTGAGATTTTCCATTTCGTCTTTTACTATACAGCTGGTCAGTTTAGTAACTACAAAATATAGTTTTCGAGTACTTCTTAGGTAATCGGCTTGTGTCTAGCTTTAATTGAAGAAAGTCGTTAAGCAAAGTTAAGTCTCTTATAAATTCCGCGTATTCGTAATAATAAATTTGGTGAAGCCAAGTCTTTCATTGGCTCATTTCAACTACAACTACAGATCGTAAGTAGTATTAGCCCGGTAATAGCTCGTTTGTATGTACTTTCCAAGATGCAAACATAATGCTTAATAATTTTAATAATTTTCATTCTGTTAAAGAAGTGTTACCTGTAACAGATGGTGCTTTTTTTCAAGAAACAAGTGCTTATGTGCGGTTTGTAGAGTACGGCAAGCAGAATATCGTTCAAAAATGTATAGTTTTCGGTGTAAAAATAAATGGTAATGATGTTGATTTGTATGTAAATATGTTATACATGTTTGTATGACAACAAGATTGAAATCAACAAGACATACCTCTATAACAGCTAACTACAATACATGGAAGTATGTAAATTAAATTAAATAAAATTGTATATATTCAAAATTAAAACAGCATTCACAAAATACTTTCTAAGACTACATAGGAAAAACGATAGTTCTTTTACGCCCACCAGCAGCCGCAATTCGGCGATCAGGAGTAGTTTTGTCGTTTTGTCATTTTCATGTATGTCAGCTGATCAAATCGGGGTCACAATTTTATATTTCAGATATATTTAAGAAAATTTATGCTTTATTTGCTCAGATTGTGAATTTATATTTGTATGTAGTTATAATAGAATTGGTTTTAAATTTGTAATTTTATGATGATACACATACACCCTATACACCAAGTTGTAATTAGCTTTTAGAGCTTTTATAGCATCTGATTGAAGCATTTGTTTTCCAATTAACATTAAGCACAAAAAGCTAGCTAAAGTTACATAACTTATTTGTATGAGATCAATCCTTAAAAAAATATTTGTAGAAAGCCTATCAGTGATGGAGAAGCTCAAGCTAATTTAGACAATCTGCATTAAACAATTTTGCGTATTTAATATTATTTGTTTTGTAAATGAAACTATTACATAAATGGTTTTAAAAATTACATTTACATTATTAGTTCGGAAGAAGAACTTGTTCACGTTTTTATGAAATTGAATTTTATTTAATTTACAATAAAGAATAATCGATTTTTCAGGAGATTTAAAATTTTTTAAATAATTCGAATTATAAACACAAAAAATACTTTTTTCTTACAAAACGCGGCATCAATTGAAATATCGACTTTAGTATTATGAATGTTAAAATTGTATAGTTTATAAAAAATTTTTTTTTGAAAAAAAATAATGGTTTTGATTCGAAATATTTGACTACAAGTTCTGTACGTAATTCACTAACTTTTAATTATTTTTAATATTTGAGAAATTTATGAATTTCGGGCTGATTTTTTTGGAAATTTTAGTTATTACTTCCGTTGTTTTGCAAGATCCAAAACCACCTATTTTGGCGGTACTAGCTTGACGACACCTTTTTTTTTATGAGTTCGTAATTGTCACCGCGATTGTAAGCAGCATACTACTTAATAAAATAAATATATTTAAAAACAAAGATAAAAGAATAAATACTGGCTTATAGTAGATTCTAAGCATTGTGCAGGTATAGAAATTATTCTAAGCTGCTGTTACGCGGAGCTTCAATAATTATGTACCTCTATGACTTATTTTCAATTTCATACGATTGGAAAATATTTTATACAGTTTGATTTTTTTTGTTGGTGGCAACTCAGTTTTAAATAGGGCTAAATGAAATATTTTTAGAATATTTCTAGTTCATTAGGATCCTCATTTATTTAAAGTAGACTCTGAGATGGAAAGTCAATTTTGATGAGCGACGCGGCCCATTTCATAATGCCTTTCGACGTTAAGAAGTAATAAGAAAAAACGTTTACTATAATATCCTTCACAAATACAAAATATTTCTTAAAAGAACTTAATTTTGATTGCTCAGTTTGTATGGCAGCTATATGCTATAGTAGCTCGATCTTCGGAGATTGCACCGTTGCCTTAAACAATATTCAATGCAAAATTTCGTGAAAATATCTCCTCAAATGAAAAAGTTGTCCATACAAGCACTTGATTCCGATCGTTCAGGTTGTATTTGCTACAGTGATTCGATCAGAACAATTTCTTCAGAGATTGCACCATTACCTGAGACAATAGTCAATTTCTTGAAGTTATCTCGTTAAATGAAATAGCTTTAAATACAAGAACTTGATTCTGATTGTTCAGTTTGTATGGCAGCTATATGCTATAGTGAACCGATATCGGCGGTTTCTTCTTGGGAAGAACACGACGTGTGCGAAATTTCAGATCGGTATCTGAAAAAATGAAGGTCTAGTTCACGTATATACAGAAAGACGGACATAAGGACATGGCTAAATCGACTCGGCTTATCATGCTGGTCATTTATAGAATTCAAATACTTTTAAAGGATGACGATTCCTTCTGGCTGTTACAAACTTTTTGGAAATTTTAGTATACCCTGTTTAGGGTATAAAAAGAAGATATTGTTTGGTCTTGTTTGCTAATAAGAGGTGGTATTGACTGGGCAACCCGTTCAGTTTTTACCATACCTGACAATTTTCACAATTTTGTACAGTGCTAAAATCATCGCTATATTACCTGAATATAACCGGTAATAAATAGTTTTTCGGATTGGTGTAAAAAATCTGTCGTACCCTAATCCTAACACTGCAGCTCGACTTTCAATATTACAGATTATCACACAACCAAACGCTTAAATTTTCATGTAGTACTTACGAGTGACTCTGTACGTCAAAAACAAAAGCTCATGTGAAGCGTGCTAGCTAGTGTAAGCACCTAAATATTATACAGCTTTTATGTAGAAATGTTGGGTTTAAGATATCATATATTAATACAGATTTACTTGACTTTTGGGAATAACATTTATATTTACATGGTTTTGTATGTATTATATGTGCGTTAGTAGAATTATATTTATTTACGATTAGGTGCTAAGGGGATAGATGAAGCAAGTCTCTACTTGGTTTAGGATTGCTTTTATTTGGTTAGACAACAAAATGTTGAAATTTTAATTCTAAGCAAAATCCAATATTTATTGTATATAGTGCGCATTTGTTGAAGTATAATTTTATTTAATTTATTCAGCATTCTTTTTAGATTTGCGGTGCAGTTTTTTGTGATTTAAGCATACATACATACGAGTACATACTAGGTATATGTATATATACGAGTACATGAATGGCGGTGATGTAACTTAAAGAAATAATGTGTGCAACAATTTAATATTTAATAGGTTATTATGGAAAATTTTGAGTTCAAAACTGTAACGCTTGTTTGAGGAGAGGGGGGGATATACAGCACTGTGTGTACACAACGAGATATTCGTTAAGAGGAAATTTTGCAAAAAAAAAAAACATATTTTTGATAAAAATACGAATCATAAACCAATCAAGTACTTATATGCATATAAAGCTTAACTTATACATACATATGTTAGGGGAAAGTGACAGACAGTTACAGACAAAAAGAGAGAGAGCGAGAGAGAGAGAGAGAAAGAAACAGGTAGATAGAAATACAACGCTTGAAGTGAGTTGCGGTGGAGTAATTTGCTTTTAGTATATAACTTTTTGTTTTTTGCTATAAAAAGGGTTCATAAATATTTTTGTTGAACAAATTTTTTTGTTTTTGGTTTGTGCTTGCAAATTTGTTTTAATAGTTGTTGTTGTATTGTTTTTTTCGTTTTCAAAATCAAACTCAATTTAGCCTATCTTACGTCGGGGAGGCGGTCGTAATAGATCGTCAAGTGAAAATGTACGCGCTGCTGCCCCTCCCCCTCCGGGTATTGGATTGGGGCTGCTGAGGCTCAAAAGTGACGGTTTTCTGATACCCAATCTGTTGAATATGGAACGCTGTGTGCCCGGTGCTATATTGCCGGTTGACTGTGGAATGGCAGTAGTAAATTGCAATTGCTCGCGTAATGATGTGTGATGATGATGTCCATGTATGGAACCAGGTGCTATATATTTATGAAGAAGAAAAAAAGTTTTCGTAAAAATATACAAACAAACAAACGAGTAGTAGAAGATACAAAAAAAAAAAAACAACAGAGAGAAAAAGAGAAAAAGAGAGAGAGAGAGAGAGACAGTAAGTGGTAGAAAAAAAATTCTTGCACAAATTTGCAAAATGAGCGCATACACGAGTATCTCAACAAAAGTAAATCGTATGTATTCGGACAAAAATAGATGTTTGCTAGCAATTTTAGTAAATACAGATATACGTATATGCGTAAAAATAAAATATTTATAAGAATCGTAGTTATATAATCTATGTATAACTTATACAAAGGTTCGGGGTTTGATATATGTACTACGCTTCATTGGTATAGGAGCAACCAGTTTAATAAATCTTCCATATTCTCTGCTTTATAGTGAATTTAAATAATAATTTTTTCATTTCTTTGTTATGTGGTCACTATTACATACACTTATATGTATATAATGAAAACATCTTAAGGATTGTTTGCAGTTCTGGTTACTCGTCTAAACTTAAAACAAAACTTGAATGCGTGCATATTATCTATCGCCGATTATATAATTTTTGAAGCATTAAATTTAAAACGAGAACATGAAATCTCAACTTTATCTTTATATTTCTGTAAAGATCTCTTAGTTTGAAAGACTGCATAAATGTGTCTTTGAGGAAGCAAAACGAATTTTGAAAGCGATATCAGATGTACTACCCACATGCAATCAATAGATTTCGAGTAATAAATGACATTTTTCTTATAATTGCAACTTATTTTGACCCCTTCTGTGGAATTATTTTTAAAAATTCGATGTTAATGTGACATTCATTTTGACAATTACTAAAATTTCAGAATGTTTCAAATAAGCATACATATATGAAAAAAAAAAAAACCTTTGTATCTACAATATTATAGAAATCATTATATAAGAAATTGATATTACATTATATATAGAAATTGACATGTCGCTATAGGTTGTCATCAGGTTTAAAATAATTGGGAGCTAAACATCTCAGATATTTATAGAAACATTAATGCTAAGTGAGGTTTGGTCACTTAGGCAGTTAAATAACTGTATAGCTTAACTAAATCCTAACAGTTTGTGAACGGAGCCGCTCAAAAGGCTAAGACAATAACTCAATACTGAAAATTAATAAAATATTTTATATATCAAGTCAAGGTTACACATTTGACAAACAATTTACACATTTTTATCTAGATAATAATCTTCATATACTATATGTTAGTTTCAATACTGATATGATATCTACTTAATATAGATATATACATAAACATATAAAATAGTTATATATATTTACATGTCTACTGATTTCAGTTGAAGCAATACAGCTCAATAAACATTAAGTCACTGCTGTTTCCATAGATTATAAAATAAGTAATACTTAAAGTACACTAAACAACTTTGAAGATAGACTTCTAAAACGTGTGCTTTCCAAGCGCTACTTTTGCTCACAATAAGTTACTTGCAATCCTATATCTTTCACCGTCCCCTAATTTAATATTCAAATATACACATATTGATACACATACATACATATACAATAAACTAGCTTTTAACCTATCAAATCTTAACCTATAAATATAAGAGAAACACTTACGTCGATTTCGATCCGCTTCCTCAGCGAGTAACTTTTCGATTTTCTCCGGAAAATGCCGTTTGGCACACCAAACCAAACCGATGACAGCCAATACAACAAATACTGTTATCAATCCCAACCAAAATGGCTCTTGTAGCATGCGTTCCGATAACGGTTTATAGGGTATGTGCAGCATACGACGCTCGCAACGCGCGCCTTCCCACCAAGCGTGACAGCTGTTTAAGAGACAGTAAATTATTGAATCAGCTGTTTAAATTGTAAAAACGATTGAGTTAAAAAAAATATATTATATACATATATAACAACAAATTATATTTATGGTATACGTAATTGATTATTTTGAAGTTTATGGCATCCTCATATACGAAAATAAATATGTCAATAACACCGTATTAGTCGAGAAAACAAAAAAGCCGACGGACGACCCACCTAGCAAAGTTAATTCAGCAATTTAGTATTCTACTTCACTTAGCTCACTCAAAAGGATCCACTTTTTCACTCAAATATTTAATCTCACTAAATTTGAAGTAGTTTTGATTCAAATACATAAGTCTAATTATTATTGTAAAATTAACCGTTTTATTCAAAATCGATGGCGCCTAGTATATTCTTCGCTTTTCTCATTGCAATCAAACTTCTAAAAAATAAATGGGTCATTCCATCCAAAATTTATATTGTATATTTTTATTGTTGTATTTTTTGAGGCAAATATTGGAGACGTATTTTTTTATTTCAACTCAATATTAAAAATTTGGAATTATGAATTTTTAAAATTTCAGCGCTCGAAAAGAGTACAATACCGACTTTTTTCCGACTGTTACAACACCTTGTGGCAAACTTATATACCTTGTTCAGGGTATAAAATATATAATATTTTCTTGAACAATTAAAACTTTTTTTCAAATATTCTAGCAACAATTTTTTACAAATAAATCTGGGGCGAGTAATTTTAGATTTCTTTTAATTATACGCACCGACAAAAGTAGCCACCATTTCTTTCGAAACAAGCGCCGCGACCTTCACAAGGATTCTCAGCACAAGGTCTTTGCTTTAGCTCGCATGTGTGACCCATATAACCCGGCTGGCATTGACACTAGACAGGTGATAACATTAAATATTATTATAATTCAACAGGTAAGTTATAAAAAAAATTTCTAGGCATACCTTGAAGCTATTAGTAGTTAGTTCACATTTACCAAAGACGCACGGCTCCAACTCACAAATGTTTAAGCCACAAAACCTGCGAATGATATTCCCTTATTATATAAGTAGCCAAGAAATACAATATTTAAATCCCAACACGCACCTGCCGGTATAGTGACCTTGGCACTGACAGTAGTTCGAACCATTATTGAACACACATTTACCATTGAACTGACAGGGATTCGGTTGGCATGATTCGACGGTTTTCTCATCAGCAGTCAATTTCATTTTGTATGTGTTGTCTGAGCACAGATTAGGAATGGAAAATTTAGATAATTAAAATTTTTTTAAAAACTATGTTAATATCCAATTTACCCCACTGTATGGTCACGGTTGCATTGAGCAACGCATTGGAGTGTTGGCCTGTGCGTTGGCGTATGTGCAGCGTATTCAAATATGAGGTTATGTATACTGGTGGCGCTGCGGTCGCGACTGTCCTGAGCTGTAGTCTACTGCTCGATTTAGTTGGTGGTAACATCGAATGAGTGCGACTGTAAAATATATCCTGTGGTTGCAAATAATCGTAGGCTGCATTCGGTCGCTCTGCTGGATGCTTTGGTGGACCTGTGTGTGGAAGCGTTGTTGGTGGTTGGAATTTGCACAGCTGCCATCTTGTGCCATTATTATCGGCGTAGTTGTCAAAAACCTAATTTGGAAAGTAAGAGGTGGTAAGGTAAAAATGTCCGAATTAAAGCTTAAAGTTCGGATTTTCAAAACTAAAACGAGCGAATAATGAAGAAGAAAACTTCGTAAACTTGGGAAAAAATCATGGACTGTGAATGAAGTCCTCTAACAGGAAGGAAATTTAAATTGTTGGTAACTTCTCGGAAATTACGTCGAGTATCAGGTCTTTAGGGAGAGACCAGTCATATAGATCTATTTCAGATTAATTATTGATACAATAGTTACTTGAATGTGAGAGGAGACCTACCTAGTTCAAACTTCATGCAGTTATGTCAGAAGTTCATATATCGATGATCTTTAAGAATTTTTAATGAATTTTCAATACAAATTTATTACCTCTAGAAGACTACCATCCGGACAACCGCCGTTGTCGCTGAACTCAACGCCATGTAATTCCAACAGGATATTCTGACCGAAGGGTGCCACCAAATGATGAGTGAAGTCCACATTTTCCGGCATCGGATGTGGATAATTCAGTTGATAAAGAGAACCGCTTGAATTGAGTTGCAAGCTGATGATTCGCTCACGACGTTCCAGTGGCACCACTGTAACATTAGTAAACAGTATGGAAAATGTATATAAATATGAACAATTAATTAACGCACCTGTGCGATAGACAGCTTGGAAGCCTTTGCCACGCGGATGTTGTCCGGTTCGAAATTGTATGCGCAACTGTTCACGTTCACTTACGAATATGCCCTCACTGAGCAGTTCTCTAGTATGAAATGGCCGTAGAAGGCCACTACCAGTATCTACCTCCAAAATCGCGTCCACTTTCAAGTCGAACTCATTGAACTCCAGCCAGACGCGTCTGCCCGTCGGCGCTTGTATCACATAAGCACAATTCAAGTTGTTGAGTAAAAAATTTGGATAGTTGGGACTGTAGACGGTGCCCTCGCGTGAAGTGAGTGTCTGCAGCGGACAGCCCGAAACATCGATTGCCTTCCATGTAGCTGCAAACCCGATGCCATTGACCGAATAATCGCTATGGAAATTCAGCATAGCCTCATTGGACCTAGAGACAAAGTCGAATTTCGACATATTGGAGGTATGTGTGCCGCACCAGCGTACATATGGCAGGAATGATTGTGCATTATCTACAGGTAGTGGTATCATTAATGGATCACTATCCTCTAAAATACTGTTACGTTTCCGTCGCGCCATTTTCGCTTTTCGCCGGCGATGTTTGGGATTTTGATATTTTGTTATTGTACCACTCGCTGTGTTTAACTGACTATTGTTAGTTTGTATTGTTTTCGAGCGCAATTCACTACTAAAATGCTGACTACCCTTGTGCGTTCTTTTGCTATTCTCATATTTCTTCGCATGTGCTAGTTTTGTATATTCAGTACTGGCAGTGTTAGTGGTGGTTTGGTAGCTCCACCGTTTTTTTCTTCTTATACTACGTTTAGGCCTTTGACTATACTTTGTGTCGAACTCGCCTATGCTCACTTCATTGTCGATGGATGTTAGTTCTTCCTCCGACGTAAGCATGGCCATTGGCAGTGGATTGCTGCCGGGCTCCAATGTTATGTGCGAGACTAATTCGTAGTCTTGTATGCTAACGTAATCATAGAGACACTCATCCTGTGGCTCGAGATCGATTTTCTGGAACTGCAGTATTATGCGGGTGCGTTCCGGTGTTTTGATGTGTACCCAATAATCCAGATTTATTGGATATGTGCTGGGATAGGCTTTTTAAGGGCGAATAGAGAACATGAACCGGTTATGAGTAAGTAATTTTCTAAAAATTATAATGGCTCCTTAGGTTAAGAACTAGGGTCGATTATGTTTGGAATAAAATTAAATTGGATTATATATTATAAATTTAAGATAGACAATCTTACGACGAGTTACACTAATCTAATTTACTCTTAATTTGATTTTTTATGAGATTAAGATCATTCTCCGATAAACTTATTTTAATTCTAAGCTTTGAAACCATATTGTTTACTTTAACTTCAAAACTGAGCTCTTGGACTGTGTTGGACTGACAGAAATGGTTTCTAGATAGATTGAATCTAAGTAAGGGATTATATGAAAAAGTTGTTTTTGGAGTTTTAATCCACTTAATTATCATGTTATATTGTAGTACCAGAGTGGTTGGTTTAATGGTATAAATTAGACTTAGGATTCGTCTGAAACTTTAGTGTTGAGCTCTTTAGTCGAAGAGACCGAAACCCAAATCGTCGTCTATTTCTGACTTCGACACCTACTTTTGACTTCTGACTCAAACCAAAACAGTTTTCTGGTTAAAATTTTTTGGGTTCAAAATTGTTTCAAATAAATAATTTATTTTATAAGAAAGAAAAATTATAACAGCTTCAGATATCACGCCCAAAATTAAAACATGTAAGCAGCTCACCTGGTGACACAAGTCTGCCCTCAGCACCCGTTATAGTGAGATTATTGGCGGAAAATGTACCAAATGAATCCTTCGGCTTTTTGCACACATAACCGCCGACCTTACTGCATTTTTGTGATTGCCAATACAGGCCCGATGGTAGCATTGGCGTTGGCGACATCTTCCATTGCAGACCCAAACATATGGCGTCTGTAGGCAGTTCTTCGAATTGACCCTGACCGGGTAACCAGCCCTAGAAAAGAAGAAAATAGTAAAATCAGTTTGAAACAATATATGTATTTCCAAACTGTCTGTCTTTCATACCTGAAAGCTCATTCTAGTATCATCGGTCCACTCGAATTGACCGCTTTTCTCCAGCTCGGCACCCAGCCAGTATATCAGCTGCGGCGAATAGTCTATTTGGTTTCGTATGTTCGATGTAATAAATCTGCAAACAAAAAAATTACAAGCCTTCGGTATATAAAAACTTTCCCTAGCACCCACCTGTGCTCATCCGAGGACGACACCGACGACAGTTGTGCACCCATACCACGACACACTTGCTGCGCCGTCCACCAATCCACTTCGGGATAGGATATGAAGAGATAACAGGAACCATTGTAGTACTTGAGACGTTCGTTGGCGCACTCCGAGGCGGCTGGAAGAGAAATGTAGAAAAGCACAAAAGCAATAGGCGATTAATTTCATTAAACAGAAAACGATACTTTTCGCTATTTGCAAAATGCTCAATCCAGAAAAAGTTAGGCAACACATACACACGCACGTACACGCTAATATTATAATTTCGGCTAAACGTGCAATAAACTACTTACAAACATACATACATACATGTAGTGGTATTAATTTCGGTTTATATTTCATTACACATTATTAGCTTCAATAATAAAAACAGTTATTGCGTGCCTAGTTGGGAACTGCTGTGCTATTTGTTGTTGTGTCTGGTAAGAGCATGTCTTCAACGTAAAGAAAAGTATTATATTGTGTAAAATAATAAATCTATACAAGGGATATTTAGTAATATATTATTTAATTACATAAAACAACTATAAATTTGACAAATATTGCTATAGTTAAATACAACAATGGGTACTGAAATTTTTGTTATAAAAAAGTATATTTAAATTTACATTTAATAAATAAAAATATTCCTATATTATTTTAAATTAGTTACAAATTTAAGGAAACAGTACTGGAATACAAATATATACCATAACATGATCAGTAAAACAATTTTAACACATATACGAGGGCGGTCCGACAAGTACTTAATCTCATCGCGCGATGTAGAAATTTACTATCATCTAGTATATTCTCGTAGACGGCTACTGTCAAAATTCCAGACGTGTCTATCTTGTAGTTCTGTTTTGACTTCCTGTGAAGGCTGGCGTGTTCGCAAATTTTAGAAAAATGGAGAAAGATCAATATCGATCGGTTACTCGATTCTGGTTTTTGAAAGGGAAGTCATGCACTGAAAGAAAAGAGCGCTTGTATGATAAACATGGTGACGGTGAGGCTTCTACTTTGGCGGAAACTAACAAACATTGGTTTAACGAGTGACCTGTGTGTCCCACAAACGGCCCCCACGAAGAACAGCGTAACGCGAGAGAACTGAGACAGTAGACAGCTCAAAATACCGCGTGAATTATATCCTGCATCAAATATTGCTTATATGAAGGTTTCGATCAACAAGCGCAACTCAAAGAGTTATAATCGAGTTTGACGCTGTTTAAACGTAATTGGAAGCAGTTTCTGCGTCGTTGGTGATAGTCGACAAAACCTGGGTTCAGTGCTACAAATCAGAGACGAGAAGCCAAGAAATAGACGAAGCTGTGAAATTCACACAGTCTTTTTAGGCGGAAAGGTGAATCGACGCTAAATCGCAGAAAAAGCAGAATCATTTCGTGAGAAAAAAAACTCTTTCACTATGAAAATATACTATTTCACACCTCTTCCTCTGCCACGGTAAAATTAATTAGGCGACGAATCACTATATTTCCACAATTTTCCGTTTTCTAGGCCAAGTACTTATCCGATCGTTCTCGTATGTCTAATTTAATTTCTGGCAATGTCCACTTGTGTCTTTTAACTCATTGAGAAAGAAAAGGGCTTAACAATTTGAATATAGGTAGTTATGTTAACAGAGGAATCACTTGATTAAAAAAGTTTAAATAAATAAAAATTTGAAGAAAAGGACACATTCCTGCAAGCATTGGCTAATTTTAATTAGACTCATTAGTTAAGTAACTCAAAATAACGCTTCATAAGCTAGAAAAATAAATATTTGAAAAATTATTAATAAATAAATAAGTATATACCATAGATAAAAGATAACATAGATAAATGTAATTTGAAATAGAAATAATTTAATACATTGGCAAAAAATATTTATCTAATTCGCCACATCTCTAACAGATAAACATATATTTTGTAAATAAAAACACTCATGCAAATATCCAGGCTAAATACTATAAACCATGTTTAAACTAAACGAAAACTCTAATGAAATTAAAACATTCAGAAAATAGCTGCGGGCGTTGTGTGCTTGCATGGCTTCGATGACATGTATACATACCCTGTTGGAAAAATAACTTAATATGAAGTGATAATGCTTTGAAAAATTACTTTGAAGTTATCACATGAATTTTCGCATTGGCATTAAATTCTTTATTTTATTTACAACTTTATCCGTTCGTCTAAAACAATTCTTACAGGGTATGTATAATGCCAACAAAGCACACTGATCTACCTGTGGCACTGGAGAGACTTACCACGGAACGTATAACTTCCTAGTAGTATGTTCAATATTTAAGTTTCGTAGAAATAGTTGGCAATACAAGGTAAAAGTAAAAGTAATTTTACAATAGTAATACATATGTGAATGTGTGATAGAGAAAGAGAGAGAGAGAGCGAGAGAGAGTGGGCATGAAAAATAAAGTGATTTGCATGAAATTGAAGAACGAAGAACAAGTGGTGGGCAAGTTGTAAGACAAAGCGTGTTGTAGAAAGTGCCTTAGGACTGTGATGTATGGCAATATGTTTGTGAAATGCGTGAAAGTCCTAGATAGATACATATATCTTATGTATATAAATAACTTTGAAGCAAAAAATTTTGAAACGTACATATGTATGTATATCTTTGAAATATTTTATATAGACACGAAAAAAAAAACGGTTAATATACCAAAGATGATATTTATTTAGTTAGACATATTAGTAGTTAATAGATATATAGGTATGTACAGATTTACTTTGCATAAAATTTAATTGAAAGCATTCATCGAGACAAACATACACGCATGTTATTATAGTTAAATATATTAAGTAATTTGAATTTTTGTGTAATTTTTCGAAACTCCGTTAAAAGCAATAAAAATTGTATAATCTTCATTATATACTTGTAGTATTTCTATAAAATTCGAGATTTTAAACTTAATATTTTTTAATTTTTATCTACATTTAAAATATATCGTAGACTTCTTTGGGAAATGTGTGTTTTTTAGCCTTAGCTTGCTACTGATCAGAAGGTGAGTGTTTTATCAGCTTAGTTTATGGAAAGATGATAACAAATTGTTTGATGGAGTTAAAGTGACAAGTGAACATTTGATCGATCTCTTTCTTGACGATCGTATAATATCGAATATATATATAGACTTGTACTGTAAGCAATTGACAGCAAAATCGGCTCTTAGACTGAGAGAATTCTCTCTATTAGTCGCCTGTAATAAGGGACCTTCTAATCTACTTAGCTAATTCACCCTTTCTACCCAATAACATGAATACTCGTAGTCGTTTCGAATTGAACTTAAATTCGTTTTTACTTCCCTCCCAGAGAGATGTGGGATAGGGGTAAAGTGGACAAATACGGGCCGAAACTGGATAAGCGAGTAGGAGGTGGTGTTTTTTCAACATAATTATATACCAAAATCATCTTCCGACTACCAGGCCACTGCAGTATCTTCCAAGCGGAGATTACAGCAATTAAAGAAAACCTTCTTGTTCTGACTAAAAGGGAGCATACAGTGGATCTAACATCCTATTTCACGTTAAGCCTTATATGGGTTCCATCACATAGTGATATTACGGGTAACCTACAATTAGACTCCGATAAAGAGGGTATATATATGCTTCTGGCTACTTGTAGATATTTAATCGACAAATATGTTATAGATATAGCTGAGTCTCTGGGTATGGTAGAAGCTGCCAAGAGGTAGAAAAAGAAGATACTGTAAAATACCTACTTTGTGAATGCAAGGCTTAGTACAAGAAAATAATCGAGCTATTGGACGAGCGTTTCTTGGCAATTTCTCGGAATTTGCACATATGTATAAAACTTTTTGAATTGACGAACTTTATCAAAAGCACAGGGTGGTTCAGAGAGCACATAATAGAGTAAGGGGATTTTAGTCTGGGTGGTTTCACAATGGGCCTTCTAAAAATCTAGGTGCGTCGTCTAAAAAGCTTTTACTTAAATGAAAAAATTATATGATATTTTCAAACTGAGAGGTCAAAAACTTGCAGATGAGTACTATATTGAATGAAATGTTCTATAGTGAAAAAAATGCTGTTAACTTCTTTTGATAATGTAATTATAATCGACTATTGCGTGTTTAGCATGAGGCGCGTTATGAACATTCTCGAGTTTCTTGTAAGCAAATATAAGTATGTGATGATGTTGTTTCCTCAAAAATAATACTCACTATTTTCCATATAAGTTTTTGCTTTATAGCCGCCAAAATGATGCGAGTAATCGGAAACGAAATGCAAGCCTAAGTAGGAGCCAGTGGAGACGTGACGCAGCAGCTTCAGCTTGGAACTCCAATCGCCGCATAAGCGCTTCGGCAAAGCGTTCGTTTCCGCATTTGCATCCGAACGTAAACGATTGTGATGATTCGTTGGATAGTTCGGATTGCCATGTGGATAGTCGGGTGTTTGTATTAGGTAATTCGTATGCGGTCGGTAGAGACTCGAGAAGATGTGCAGGAGCTTTTGATAATTCGTTTGCGCGAGATTGTAGTTGTTATAGCTATTCGAATACAAGTAGTTGTTGTTGTTATTATTGTTATTGTTGTTGGTGTTAGTGTTGAAATTCGCATTCGCATTCGCATTTACATTCGTATTTATATTATTTACAGCATTCGTACTAGCATAATTTGTATAAGTATTAGAATAAGCGTTCGTATTAGAATTACTAGATGTATATGTAGATGTAGATGTAGACATAGGCATAGTATACGATGAACTAAGGCTAGGTTTCTCATAAGAACTTCGCTTTCGAAATGTTTTATTTATATTTATATTACTTTTACTACTATTATTTATATTTAACATATTTTTGTTTTTGGAAGATTTTGTAGTTTTGAAGTTATCGTAGTGTGTTGGTTCGGTAATTTCCAAATAGTCATAGGTACAACTGTGAAAAATTAATAGAACATGAAATTTTATGCAGGTAATTCTATTTGCTTATTGAGAGATTACTCACCCCGCTTCATTCTCGATCACCAGCTCTTCGAATTCGATGACGACACGATAGCCCGTTGGCGCTGTTATTGTTGTAAAACAATTTGCATTATCGGGATATTGTCGTGGAAACGACGGACTCCAAATTGAAGCGCGCGGATGCTCCTTAGTTAATGAGACCGTCTTATTACAGTCGTTTATCCAACTACGTCTCAAAGAGTCTGTGGCATATATAGAGAAATTATTAAAAGCATGATCTATGATGATCCAATAACAAATTTCGTGAAGATGGGTATTAAATCTATAAAAGTATCTATAAAATATGATTAATAGCTATACTTCTTAATAGTATTTTAGATTTATTAAATCCCGACTGAATATTGTGGGTTCATGCTTAAATAAGGTATAATTTTAGAAACTTATTAATAAATTAAATCGAGAAATATTACTTATATTCGTAATCTTCTGTTAGAGAGGGAGAGAAACTGTGTATTGAAATGATTTATAATACAGAGTTTCTCTTTCACCAACTCTACATTATTCTTCACACAACTTACCATCGCTCAAAGGCCGCTCACAGATTAGAAAATTCTTTGCACTGCAATCACGATCATTCCACATAAAAGTGCTCGTCAACGGACTGCGATTCGTTTGTATACCCGGTGGTGTACGAAAAAAGCGACGTAACTCTATGCAATCTTGACTGCTAAGACCATCATCGTTGGGCTGCTTATTGTAATGACTGTGTTCCGTCCATCCAGGAAACCAGTCTGTATAAAGAGGGGAAGGGAGAGAAATTTAATATGCCATTTGTACAGGTTTATGTTGGTTAGGATCTTCAACTAAGTCAAAAACTACTATGTAATTGTAACCGACTTTTATTCCTAAATTTATCAGAAATTTTATTTTCTCTCTTTTACGACGACTTAAGCCTGGTCAAACCCTATATTGAAGTGATGGAAAAGCATCTCGTCCGATTATTTTAATTCATTATATATTTTAATTTTTAGCTTTTCCCTCATATATTATATTAATTTTCTACTCACTTGTATACTGAAACAGCAGTCCGTCGCTCCAGCGAAAGTCACCCTCATAGCTGCTATCCGAGCCACCAACCCAATAGGCATTCTGATCATCATAGCCGGGACTACGAAAAAGGATTTCATGTATGACTTGTTGTTGTTGCTCATTGCGGATGGAAGCCAAGTGACCGCCCAAGTTTACACAATGCTCCTCCGCATCTGGCCACGACATGGCTACTTCAATGGCATTTATGCAAAACTGTTGCATGGCGACCCAACCGAAGTCGCAGCTGGAAACGAGCTCTGCAATGGGTTGCGCCGCATATGACAGATAAACTGTGGGCAGTGAGGTAATGGGCGTGTTGTGATCGATACCGGGCAACGTATCAGCCATAAACGGTATATTGTTGTTGTAGTTTATACGCGTCGCTTTGAAGAGATGTATATTCAGTGTATTGCCAGTTGAGGTTAAAAGAAAGGCTTGCATGCGATTGGTATCGTTTATACAATAGGACCATCGCGCGGCATCGCTTTCGAATATTTTAACGATAACTCCATCACAGTTAGAGATTTCAATGGCTCCTTGTATAGACTTGCCGCTCGCAGCGAAGCTGAACTCTTTGATTTTGCTCTCCATAATTCTGAGGAAACCATCCAATGAACTTGTGGAACGCTTGTTGACATGCTCTCGCGTTGCATTATACGCACGAAGCGTGTACGCGCTTTGCTCTTGTGCTTGCGTACGCGCCGCCGCTTTGGGTTCGGCGCGTCTAAACACTGTCGTTGCAGCGCCACTTTTTTTACTACTCCCGCTACCACTACTCACCAGCGTCAAATTTATGCGCTGTGTGTCGATTTGTATACCCTCGTTGGTGTAGATATTGAACGTGTCCTCTTCGCCGGCCGCATTTAATTGAATGCCATCATTCGGCTGCATAATCGCGCTGTCGTTGTTCGTCACGAGTGTCAGACTTATGCGATTTCCATACGGCAGGTGTATACGAAAGTAGCACTCGACTGCGTCGCGCATACTCGGACGTATGTAATACTCGCCGGTTTGATTGCTCGTCGTTATGTTATAACAATAGTCCACGAGCTTGTAGCTGAGGCTGAACATTGGACTTTTATGGAAGTATACTGTGGTGTGGCTGCGCACATCGAAGTGATAACTGCGATCGGCGGCGTTGAGTTCTTCCAGTTTTCCGCATAAGCGCGTCCGCTCATTGAAGCGTATGTAGCCGCCACTGTTGCAGGGCACATTCAGTCGTTGGAGCTCAACGAGTATACCAGCCGGTGGGATGTCGCCATTTGCGGCACTCGCAGACCCAGTTGGGTTGTTCTGGTTGTGTTCAGTCTCAAAGAGTCGATACGGAGGGAAATGTACGGTACAATCGATGCTGTACAATGGAAGTGCTGTGTAGTCTAAAGTTCCTCTGGTGACTTCACGCAACAACAATTGGCAGTCTGTGCGGAAGGAGGAAGGGAAAGAAATATAAATAATGGCAAACAATAACTTTTCTAAACGGGTCGAAATGTTAAAGAGTTCTGTAGCGTTTATTAAAGAAATGCTTCTTATGAAAGTTACAGCGATTGTATTGCATTGAAGAACTGAACAGTTCGACAGATAAAAGGGTGAATATTGATGGAGATGAAATTATTTTAATGGTGACAAAGCCGCGGCTTAAGACATGGTGAGCTATTCATAAATTTTGTAAGTCCTGGAAGGCTTCAGAGCTCTTACCAAGGTCTTATTAATAAAATTAATTATAAATATCTTATAACTAATTGGTTCAAAGAGTTTAAAAGGGATTGTTCTTGGGTTTTGGATGAGCTATGACCAGGTGCCAGAATATCCTGACAAAAGTCTACTACCTCGTATTGACAGATCGCCAATTTAATGAAGTTTTTGCATAGTTTCACGGCTGTCGTTGAAATATAGCCTCAGAAATAGACACCAAAGGCCAAGAAACAGTCGAAACACTGAACTTCACAGGACGGAGGAGGGAAAAAGGATCCTACTATGCCAAAAACCGTCTCATTTGGCGAGGAAGTGACCAAATTGGTCGAACTATCCTATGAACAGCCTTCACGACCACCATATTCCCAAATTTTGGCGCCGCCTTTTGCTTCCAAACTTGAAAGAATTACTCATTAAACCGCTTCGTATATACGAGTACCTTTTATATTTATGCAAAAGCATAAAGCAATCACTGAGACGTTCTCACCCTAAACAAACTGCCACGAACCCAAAATTTTGAGCAATTAAAAGACTTAAAAGCAAATTTGTTAAGTTTTCCACTTGTACGTTGTTGTAGTGTTGTTAAAATTTCTTGTAATTGTTTCTTTTCACTTCTTTTTCTGTATTAATTGTTTTTGTTTTTGCAATGCTGCTCGTGTACTCACCTTTGCGTAGTTGAAATTTAAAAGTTTTTTTGAACACCACATGTTGTGCGTCGACTTTTATGTTGTTGTTGTTGTTACTGCTGTAACTACTGCCATTGGCATTGTTCATGTGGCTGTTGCTGCTACTGCGACTTCTTGTGTTCCCGGCACGGTCACTATCAAAAGTCGCCCGAAAAAACACTCTGCAAAAAAAGAAAAAAATTAAATGCGAAATGAAAAGTAAAGAGAGCCAAAAAGAATTGAGGAAAACAAATAGAAATGAAACTTTGTGAGTTTGCCGCCGTTCAAGTCCAAGTTTTCACCATAAAATATCCATTCTTTGAAATTCAACGCATTACCGCAACGGTGGCGAAAAGTTGAAATGTGGTCAAGTTTAATTTGGCTTTGGAATAACGAAATGTCGAGAGCATTTTGCGAGCGAATTCTATTAAGGCACAAGTTTTAGTGGAACTAGCAATTAGTTTGTTCCACTGAAATGCCTTTAGGAAGCTAGTGATCTAATTTTAAGCAATTTACAATACAATAGAAACAAATTTAAACACTTGTATTAATTTATAAGAGGGATTGTCAATTGATGGAAAGGAGAAGCAAACTTCAGCAATAATAATATTGGGTTGTGCAGGTGAGGCCTTGATTCTTAATCGTTCAAAACTATTGTTCCGAACCTAATTTGTTTTTATAAGATCGTTTAATGCGACTTATTAGCGGTGTATCGGTATGAACATGAAATATTAATTTTATATAAGAAAGAAAAAAAACTTTTATTCAAAGTATTGCCCATTGCTTTTCACACATTTTGACCACCTTTCCGGCAATTTGTAGATACCATATAAATAGAAATGTTCGTCTTCTGAAGCAAACCAATCAGACGCCCAATTTTCGATTTCTGCGTAGGAATCCAAGTGCTGCTCAGTCAATGCGTTTCCAATCGATGAAAACAAATGGTAATCGAAAGGTGCTCAGCCTGGTGAATACGGCGGATGGGGTGGCAGCTCCCAGCCAAGTACTTTGATTGTATCCTGAACCGATTCTGCTTTGTGTGCAGGTGCATTGTCTCGTAACAAAATTACTTTACCGTGTCTTCTGCCGCAGTCTGGTCGTTGTCCGAGTAGTAACAGAAGATAAACTCGCCTTTGAATACGAGTACATATATTAGCAATCAACATCAAATTCATTTATCCATCTGGATTTTGAAGATTTACGCAATATTTTGCTATTCTATTATATTATATTTTACTAAGAACCCTCTCGCCTCAAATATGGCTTTACTAACGTAGTTGGCTGCTAGAAAGCCAACAAGACAGTGCTCATGTTGGACTTGTGTCAACAAACCACAGAACTTAGATGTTGATACTACATAAATTCACTTTGTCGGTTAAATGCGTATAAATAACTGTTAATGAGGCTGTTCATTTCGAATAGTACTCATGTACGCACTTCAACAACAGATCTTCTCGTAATTAAATGCGTTTTACTAACAAATGATGATTTAATCAAATGAACCCAGTACCGCTTCCACTACAAAGTAAATTAAATTAACTGCTCCACTTTGCCCATTTCATTTGTAAAGCAAACCACAATTATGACCTGGCAATTATCTGCTCATTACGCACACATACATAGTATATAATATACGCACACTACATACTCCTCTTATGATTGTGAGTTCGTCATCTGGCCTTGCCACATTCGGAGCAGACGAGCAATTATAATTCATTTACAAAAGAAGAACATGGAAGATGAGAAGACGTGAAAGTACTCTTTCACACACAGGCAATGCATATGTACAAAGTGCAATTCAAAAGTTTCAGGACTTTTATTAAAAAACGAATATTATTTGTTTTTTTTTGAAAAATTTATTGGTTGCTTTCAAAATAGTCTCCTTCCGCCTGAATACAACGTTTTGCACGTTCACGATTATCGAATGACTTTTTTAGGTCATTTGTCGGTAAAGCGTTGAGGATGGCGGTCGTCGCCTTTTGGATGGCATCAACGTCAGCATAGCGGTTTTCTTTCATGGCCAAATGTAGTTTTCCGAACAAATAAAAATCGCAGGGTGCCATATCAGGCGAATAGGGTGAATGGTTGATGATATGAATGCGATTTTTGGTCAAAAAATCTGTCTGATTCTGAGGTCTTTTTCGTGTTGTTTCAAAGAGAAGAGATCGCATCGAAAAAACTGTAAAACGCTTCGAAAGGACTACATACTTATGAAGTTGAGAATAACCATACCATCAAATTATTAACTTTAAATAGAGTTTAGGAGCCTTATAAGAACCTTTTGGACCATTTTCTACCATAAAATTATACTTTTTATACTACTTCACATATATTGTTTTTGTCGAACAAAAGCGAAACGAATCTTAAACCGTACCTCATCTAAAGATTAGAGGCCACCAACATGTTTGATATACCATTAAAGGGTACTCCGTTGGTATCTTCTACGACTCAAAGTCTCACAACAAATTGACACAGTTAAATGGCGAAATTTCTCGAACGAGTTGAGTCCATTTGACGGACATGCATTATTATGATCCGCAGCCTCAGCAAACTGTGGTTGTAGTTTGGACCAGTCAGATCTTGGTCGTCGAAGAATTTACTGCTACAGCACATCGCGCAGACTTCTTTACGATGAAGACTTAGATAGCCAATTTTTCCTCTGAAAAATCGCCTCAAAATCATGTCGATCATAGGATCAAAGGTGGGTTAATAACCATTAAGAACACCTCATTGGGTTTAAATTGGGAACAATGCTACATTAAACGTTTTCAGAACAAATATTTATATTTGAACACTTCAACCGAGCAATATGGGCCTAAAAGTAGGTGGAGGAAAAAATTTTTTTTAAACAAATAAATTTTTTGACAAAAAAATAAAATTTGACAAAAAAAAATAAAAATTTTGACAAAAAAAATAAATTTTTGAGAAAAATAATTTTTTTTAACATCTAAGAGGCGACCCACTCATTTTTAAGTAAATTTCGAGTTAAATAGTGTTCTAGAAGGTGGGATTATTAAAAAATTTTGTGGTCTTATTGGAGTTTAAAAAGTCTTAAACGACAACATGCTTTCCCTAAGCGTTAAAATAAATTTTGGGTCAAAAACCGACACATTCAGAACCGTTCAAAATCAAAGCTCTTTACTCGTAGCCACATGATTAAAGCCCAGGAATCTCTATTGCCCAGCAATGCTCACAGGCTTCATGCCTTTCGAAATTCAACGCCAGCGTAGAACTCCACAAAAATAATGCAAGCAAAACATAATAAACTTGTTCTCATCATATTGCAATGCAATGCTGCGTTGTGAAATGGTTTGCACTTATCTAAGCGTATATAGTATATGCACTTAGCCACTTGGCCATTTAACGAAATCGCTCGCATCAATACAATATGTGTCATTTCATTTTGTTTATGCTTTTTTGTTGCGATATTTTCGAAAATACAAAGTGGAGTACATCCGGCGATTAGTGTCAAAGTGAATTCACCTACATCCAGAGTCGCCACTTAATTTTAAATTGACGCTAGGGCTGAGTAACGCACGAGCTGATTGATGGAGATGGGGTTGGCAGTATGCAGACGGACAGGACAGGTACGGTTCAACAGCGATGGTTTAGAATTGCCAAATCACCAGCCAACGGCATTGCAGTGGCAGCGTAACGGAGGGGGAGCATATGAGTTTGCATTTCAATATTTGCACTGCTAGTTTGTTGCTGTTGTGTTATTCGTTCAATATTATACTTTAGTCTCGACAATATGGATGTAATCGTGCTCAGCGCAAAAGCAATTATGCCAATGCATTGCATAAATTACGGACCTTATAGTCGTATCAAATTTAGTTATAGATACATACGGTATACACATGTAGTTAGTATATAACATATTTATGGCACGTTAGTAATTTTTTTAATATCTAAAATTAACGCAAAATCTCAAAAATACTAATTATAAACAATTTTTAATAAAGTTCAAAAAGATTATAAAAAGCTTTCAAATTTTTTGTCAATGAGATGGCGCTATATTCTAAAGTTTGAATGGTCGTAATGATTATTATAAAGTTGATATATCCATGTCTAATTAACAGCAGATCACCGCTATAGCTTTACAAGTAAGCTCAAAATAAAAGCTTAAGTCGGAGGTGTTTAGGCCGAACCAAGAACTACTGCGGCTATAAATATTGCCGAATTTCAGTAGGACAGATTATGCACTGAAGCACTACATTTCAAATACTAAATATATTAGCCCCATGTACTCTTTATATTCAAAACACTCTGGGCTAAACCTATGTCTTCAATGCGTGATGACTTTCTGATCACGTTACTATTAAAATACGTATTCCTTATAATTAGAGGCATGAAGAGCACACATTACAAAAAGTGATGGGTCGATACTATGTTTTCTTACTTGTATACAATTTATTAGTCATTCAGCTAACTAAAATGGTAAAAGATATTAAAACTTCTCACTTAATCGATTGGTCGTTCGATATTGGTTCAATCTCGTCAGTTATTATCCATAGATTACAAACACATTATTTAATGGAGATGTTGACTTCAGATCCATAACAAATATCTGCTACGAGCTAAAATTAAGGCCGGTCCACTGTATTTTCTTCAGGCATTCATAATAATTCATAATTTTGTAAATTAAATCCACATTATTTCCTGGAGGGATATTTCAAATTCATACTAGTGATAACTGTTCAGTTAACTGTACAGATTGTAAGCGGAATGGTTGAATTAAAGTTACAAACGGCTTAAAGTTGCTATGAAATGAACATAGAGTAGAACGCTGTTATGTACTCGTAGCTTTGTTCAGTAAAAATTTCACGCGAATTAAAGAGATTGCTGTATTATCAGTATCAGTTTCAAAACAGAAGAAAGAAGATATTCTAGTTCTAAAAAAATTGTTTATCAGAGTTTCAAAGTTTAATATTCAAGAATTTGTAATATAAGAATATTTTGCAAAATTCAAATTATGTTCGAAGTATAGGTATTTAGCTGACCCGACATCAATCTGTTCGGCCGGAACTGTTTTTTAACGATACCACAATTTCTGAGGTTCTACTGAACCGAATTACCTAAATTTGATTTGTCTGCCCTGTAACTATCCATATACAATTTCAGTTTTTGCTTTTTTAAAAATTCGAAAAGCCAAAAAAAAATTTGTACAAAATTTGTTTTGTTT